ATCCCTGCTCTCGCCATAGCTCAGCCACCTCCTGTCCCACTGTTCCCTCCAGGCACGGTCTCCCCAGCCCCCCTATCTTCCAGAGGGCACAGGTCTCAGAGCCAACCTCTCCTGTTGTGATGTCACATTGAGGTGCCACCCAACCTGCTTTCCCAGCAGCCCCCAGGTGTTAAGGAGGCTTGACCTTGGGGTGTTTCCCTCCAAGGATGTGGGGTCCAGTAGCAGAGGCGCCAGCTTTTGCAGACACACCCCCAGCTACATCGTTCTGTCCATAATCCTCCCGGTGGGAGGCTGCTGTCAGTAGCCCTGGGAACCACTGGACCTTGGCTGGGCCTCCTGGATGTTTGGGGACCAAGTTTCCACAAGTCCTCTGGGAGGTCTGGGTCCTGCTGACACTCAGAGCTTCTCAGATCCTCTCCTGTGGTTCCAAGATTGTGGAGCCCTGCAGAATGCTGGGACTACAGGGGTGGTGGAGGCGGTGAGGGATCTACATGTGCTTGTGGTGACCAATGGCCTGGGCTGGGAACCAAGCATGACCAGTCCTCAGGGGTCCTCGGGGTACAGAGGACAGGACAGTGGCCTTGGGCTGGCTCTCAGCTGCAACTGTTTCCTGGTGTCATGGCCCACTTCTTCTGCACGGATGACCCAGATCAGATCTTCCTTAATTGGCACGCAAGCACTGGGACTTGGGCAGCTTCCCACGCCCCCTGGGTGACCTCACTTCTTGGCATCTTTCTCACTGCCCTGGGCCAAGCAGTGCCCAGTCTGGGTGACACCACGTGGAGGTAGCACCTAGTGGAGATATCCACGTGGCTCACTTGACTAATGATCACTGACTTTGCCAGGGAGGAGGTGGAGGAGCTCTGGAGTGGAAGGACGGGGTAGGCACCACTCATGGGCACTTGTGCCCCTACTGGGTGCCTCGGGCTGAGCAGAGCTACACACAGGTACAGAGAAGCCAGGAGCCCGCAGAAGCCAACCAGCCATCGGGGACTCAGCTGTTGACTCCTCCCCCAGAGTCCCCCACCAGGAAAAATGCAGCTTCCAGGACTGAGCGCTCAGCCTGGGGGTGCCCATCTCCCCCAGAAATACGATCCCCATGGGATCTGGTGTATCTTTTGGTGCTCCTGATAGGACAGAGTGGACAGGGAGTCACAGCTCGGGGGCTGAGTTCTCCTTAGACCCCCAGGGCTGTAGTGGGCTTAAGGCAGAGAGGTCTCAGGGACCCCTGTCCACCCTGTCCACCCAAGGGCAGGCACGACTCCTTCCTCACACAGCTCAGGTCACAGTGGCTCTCACACTGTCCCCTCCCAGAGGCTGCCACATCTCATACCTGGCTGCTCTGGGAGCTGGGTGTGATTGGGGACAGAAACCTGACCCTTGCCATCCAAGGAGGAGCTGGATTTGGGCCCTCCCTAAAGCCCCTCCCGGGCTTCCCGGTCTGGCCAGCCCTCAACCCAGGACCCTGACTGATGGATGTGGATGATGGTCTTGCAGCCTGGCCCTGCACCCTGTCCTGGCAGAGCCCTGTGACCTGCTCTTCCTGCCCCTGCCCGGGTCTGACCTGTAACATCCCGCTCTCTAATCCCTCGGGACTGCTTGCCTCAGCCCATAGGCCAGGCACCTGCTTTACACCCTGACCCTAGTGCCCTTCACCTCCCCAGCGGCCCTGCCCCAGCCCCAGCCCCAGCCCCAGTAGCTCTGTCCCTCAGCACAGCCCTCCCCCTGGGCTCAGCCTCTCTGCACCCCCCCCAGGGCTGTGTGGAGGGCACCCCACGGTGGAGCAGGGCAGGAAGGGTGGTCTCCCAGGGGCTCTATGCCCTGCAGTGCCCAGCCAAGGCAGTGAGTTCTGGAAGACCCAGGGGTGCAGGGTGGGGAGCAGGCTCCACACCCGCACAGCCCCTTGGGACCTCCAGCTGTCCTGGTGCCCAGTCATGTTCTTGCTTCTGTGTTGCATTTGGGCGGGGAGGGGTTCCTCTGGACTGGGGTGGGTCCTGCCTTCTGCCCTCCACCTTCTGCCCACACTGTGGATGCAGACCCCCAGCTCCCAAACCCAGGGCGGATACTCTCCGGTCACTGTCGTTACCAAGTGGGGCGTGGTCCCCCCCCCCCACACAACTGCTGTCCTGCTTTCCGTGGTTCAGTTACAGCCCACTGAAGTCAAAAGGTGGAGAAGCCGATGGACACACAATTTCACTTTGAGATCTCATGCTATACTGAGGGTGCAGGGAAATCCTGCGCTGCTCATGATTTTGGGGGCCCGTGGGGTCTTGGGGTGCACCACTGTTGGTAAGGAGTTATGACAGTCATCTGTGCAGTGACCTTAGGGAACAGGTTTGGCCCTCATCCAGACCTGTGTGGGCCCCAGGAACTTCTCCCTTCTGCACCCCGCTTTGCCCTGGAGCATTAGCTGTTCCTCAGCAGGCCAGGGTGTGGCTGCCGTGGGCTTGGCGCCTGACATTCCCTCTGCCCGGAAGTTCCGTGGTCAGTGAAGTGAAACTGCCCTCCACCCCTTTTTATCCCACCCCCTCTGGGCTCCTCCCTGGCACTCACAGTCTGGTACTTGAGTCTTCCTGTGCAGAGAGGCCTCCTGGGGCCACACTTGGTTGGCTCTGGTCACAACCATTAGCTGGGCCTGGAGCATGGGAGGCCCCTTCTGCCTTCGCAGGTGACCATTGGTGAATTGATAGGAAAAACCCGCAGGATGCAGGCAGCAAGGGAAGAAGCCGTGCTGGCAGGAATCGCAGAGTCGTGGCAGTCCCTCTCCCTCACTTCTGGAGGGTGGAGGCAGCTGGGTCCTGCCCGGTTGGTTGCCCTCCCTTTCAAACCTCAAGACAGATCACACACACGGCATCGGGCTCCCCGTTCCGGGGGTGCAGCTCTGTGACCCACAGCAGACTCAGCGTGGTGGGACCAACCATCCCAAGACACTTCCGTCATCCCAGAGAGACCCTGTGCCCTCATCTTGCCCCCAGACCACTGATCCAGTCGTGGCTCTGTGGCTTTGCTGCTCTGGGTACTTCACAGGAAAGAGGGAAAACGCACTGGCCAGCTCCTGCCACTGGGCATGCAGCCTCACGTCACCCACGCCGCGTCATGGCAGGGATCAGTACTACTTTCCGCTTTTGTGGCCATGGGTGAAGTGGCCTCGTTTTGTTCGCCCATTCACCCTCAGATGGTCCGGTGGGGAGAGGCGGTCGGTTCCGCGTGCCTGCTCTCTGGCTCTGCCTCTCTCTGCTTCCCGGCTGCCTCCCCCGGCCCCTTCCACCTTGCGTTGCTGGAATAACCCTGGAGGACTGGCTCCGTTGTGCCCAAAATGCTTGAATTTCTTTCGTTGCTTTTCAGAGTTTTTCCTCTCTAGTCCAGGGTAATGATCTGTGTGACTGCCCCCCTGGGACGCATGTGTCCTGGCTATGAGTCATGGTCGTAGGGGCACCACGGAACGAGCAGGACAATGTTGTGATGTGGACCGTGTTGTGGAAATGGTTTAATGTCACATGGACTCCCTGAGGCCTGCAACTTGGTGCCCACCGTGGGCATCGACTCTGCTCCCGTTTCCTTGGCTGGCAGCCGATGTCATTTGAGTAGTTATTGGTTATATTGATTATAAACGTGCTTAGTCCGACTTGGTTATTAGCGTTTCCTAGAACTGACCCACAGCCTCCTACATGTCCGGCAGCCTCTTGGATTCTTTCCAAATTTCTCCTTCATGTCTGCAGTGAGGGCCCTTTGCATGGCCAGCGGAGGTCTGCATTTCCTCCCTTCCTTTCTGGGTTAGAATTCAGTTTCTGGCTGTGCTGGAGACGAGCCTGGGCCCAGCTTCATGCCTGGGCAAGCGCCCGCCCCTGAGCTGCACAGCCGTGCAGCGGTCTCCCCTCGGGGTTTTCCATCTGCCATGTCCTCCCTCTGGGTTAATCCTCACGTGTGCCGCTCTGCCCGTCCTTTCCTGTCTGTTTCGCTGCTTCCTGTCTTGTTTCAAAGCTTTCTGTGCCTCTGGCTGGGGTTTGTGCAGGAGAGTGCAAGTCGGGTCCTCCGGCTTAGGGTCTGTGTGTCTGTCTGTGTAGGTGTCTCAATGCCCAGGCCCAGGACACGGCTGCGGAAATCCAGTGGGCAGACATCTGCCACCTGTGGGACCGAGCCGGGTCCTTGCATCCTGCACTGTCCTCTGCCCACGAGGAGGCACTCGCAGCTCTGTGCTTGCTGGAGTTCCCTCCACCTGGGCCAGGACAAGGGTTTCCTGTTCCCTACTCTTAGCCTGTGGGCCCCCTGCCTCCCTCCCTCCAGACACCTTTGGGCTGGAGGGCTCACAGGGCAGGGCTCGGTCCCTGTGAGCACCCTGCTTCAGGTGTCCCTAACAGACTGGTGGACACGTTTCTGCCCCCCTTGGCCTCTCTCCTGGGGCAGTTCACAGGGCTCAGGAGACCGTGGTGTGTGCTGGCTGATCATGAGGGATGTAAACACAGGACACTCGGTCACCAGGGGAGAGGTGCGTGGTGAGGCATGGGGGCCCAGTCCTTGGGGTTTGTGGAGGTGTTGCCACATGCCACAGTCACTGACCTGACTCCCCATCTTGTACCACCCCACCTCCGGCCCTCCTCTTCCAGCCCAGGCCCCTGTCACCTCCTTTCCATTCAGAGCATGTTTGGCACCTTGGGGCCAGGGGAGCTTAGGAACTGAGTGCCAGCAGAGGTGACGAGGGTCAGACATGCATCTCACTGTGGCTTGGTACCGCAGCCTCTCCATGTGGGTCAGCACCAGTCCTGTGGCACCGGGGTAGGAGCTGGCTGCCCTGACCTGCTGCTCAGTCCTGGGTGGTTTCAGGAGGACCATGACCCAGCTGCCCTAGGGGCCTTCAGACCTCACCAGACTCTGGTTTTGTGGCCTCACACTCAGGGTGGCCTCTCCCATCCTCACTGAAGTTCCTGCTGGCTGCACTGCACTGTTTGAATACAAACCATGCTGTGGGTTCCAATCCCAGCCCTGTCCTTGGGAGCTGGGTGCCTGGGCGGGACTTCAGCCCTCTGGGCATCATCCTTCACCTGAAGGTTGGCATCCAGGGCAAGTGGCCTGAGGAGGGCAGGGTCGGTCAGACTCACAGTGCACCTCCTGCTGCGGCCACAAGGGCTGTCCCTTGGAGATGGGGGCGGGGTCCTTACAGCCTGCCCATCCTCCCTCCTTCAAGGAGTGTCCCCCCAGGAACCTCAGGACTGGTGGCCCAGTGACTATGTGTCTATGTGGACTTGGAGTCCCAGAGCTGCCCACGTGCAGGGACCCCTGGGGCCGCCTGACCCTGCCCGGCCTGGGCCCCAGGGCCATTGAAGGCTGGGAAAGGGCAAGGCCCTCTGAAGTCCCACCTGCCCCACCCAGGCCTCCAGCCTCAAGAATGGAGCTGTTATTATGGACAATGTCAGTCTGTCCCCCAGCAGCCACCAGAAGAAGCTGACTGGACAGAAAAAGGAAAGAAGAGAAAGCTCAAGCTTGTCAGAATTCGCATTTGGGGGTGTGAGGGGCGAGGGTGAGGTTCCTCAGCGGGTGCTGTTGGCACCACTGGAGCCTGGAGAGCCCGGACATGAGCCTGCTGCCGAGCTCAGGGCCTTGCTCCTGGGCCCTGGCCTGTGTGGAGAGGGCACCCCCCGAGGTCCTGCAGCCACTTTGGAGTTGTGCCAAGGTAAACAGAGACCCTTGTCACACACCTCGGGGGCGTTGTGACCTTGCCTCAGGCCTGGGCCCCGGTTGGGAGGGTGTGATGGGGCACCCACAACCCATTCCGAAGAGCCCAGGGGCTGCGGCAGCCCAAGCCCCCTGTGCCTTCCTCTCCACAGGCCAGTGGGCATGCCCACCTGCTGGGCACAGCGGTGACTCCTGTCCACTCTGCATTGGTGGTAGGGCCCCTGCTATGCCAGGTGCTGGAGATGTGGGGGCCTAGAGAGATCCAGAGGGCAGCACCCACCCCATCGTCCACTGAGCCACAGTGGGCAGCTGCAGGACAGAAATTGTTACGGTGGTGGGCGGCCACTTGGGACCATGCCCACTGTGTGGGGCTGCAGGACCCAGGTTGAGCAGGCTGTGGGGGGACCCAGGACCCCAAGGAGAGTGTACCAGGTCCCTAGGCCCACGCTGAGTACTTGTGCCCCAGCCCAGGCCAGGGTGGGACCAGATGCAGCTCCAGGGCCAGGGGCGGGAGTGGCCACCATGCATAGACACAGGTGCCACAGCCGAGGGCCCTCGTGCCTGCCCATCCCTCCTGACCAGCATTGCTTCCCTCTGGAGACCCTGGGCCTCCCTTGGCCAGGCAGCCCTGATCTGCCTGCCCACCGGCAGTGCTCCAGGGGCTGCAGGCCACGGTGGCTGCCTCTCAGGTCCCCACCTCTGGCCAGTTCTCCTGTGTGAGTGCGAATGAATGAGGGAGTGAATGAATGAACTAACGGGCAGGGAGCCCGGCTCGAGGAGCACCCCACCCATACCCCCAAAACTTGACCTCGAGCCCAGGAGGGCGACTGTGTCCCCTGACAGCGGCCCTGACAGAACCGGCCGTGTCACTGCCCTGCTCCAGGTGGCTGGCATGGCCCTAGCGCCTCTGAGGCAGCCTTGGGTGCCATGGCCCAGCCCCCCCGCCCAGAGGCCCCCCCCCCCCCGCTGGGGGATGAGACTGGCAGGAGGTGTAATCTTCAGCTGCTAATTTCAATGCCTGCAGCTTGCTGAGCTAAAAATAGCCCCCGATCTTGTTGAGTTGAAAAATAGAATCTGTGCCGCTGCCTCCGAACGTAGGCCCTTGCGGGCCCCATGCACACCAAACCCTGACCCCAAGACGCTGCTGGGCTGCCGGCTGGGGGTCCTGGATGAGCCTCGGCCCGCGGCTTCGGGAGCCTGCACAGGACGCTGTGGCAGTGCACGCTCGCCTGGGGCCAGGCAGCCGGTCTGAGTGCCTCAGCTTCCAGGAGCAGTAAGGCAGTGCGCAGTGGCAGGGGCTTGAGGGGGCAGCGCAGGTCCAGCAGCCTGCTGTGTCCCCCGCCGAGGGGTCCCTGCTGGGACAGCAGTGCGCCATGCCAGGCGCTCTGCCCCCTTGTGGCGGATGTTTGAAGTGCATAGGTTGCTGTGATCTCAGGCCCCACCTGATTCTAGAGCCACTGGCAGGATCTCAGGACCTAGAATCCTGAAGGTGCTGGGAGTGGAGAGGTGGGTGGCAGAGGCCCAGCCCTGTCCTGGTTGGTGGTGCCACTGCCCACACTGCTGGCTCAGTTCCTCCCACATTGCCACTGTATCCAGTCCCGAGTCACAGTGGTGGCACACACAACCTCCAGGGCTCCAACAACATAGCTTTTACTCAGCTTGGAGCTCAGCCAGACCACTTTCCCCTCTGCCCACCTTCCTGCCTAGGTGTGACAATGCAGCCCTGTGGGGACAGTGCCAGGGTGTCACCGCTCTGGCTAGGAGGACAGGATGCTGTGCCTATTTCCCTGTGCACAGGAGCTGGTCTTTCTGGAGGCCTCAGGCTGCACTGCCCTGCCCATGGGGCCAGTCCTTTGTCTGGGAGCCAGGGAGCAACCAAGGATGGCAGGGGGCTGTCCTGGCCAGGCCTGGACAAGCACGGATGTGGGGATGACACACTCACCAGGATGTGGAAATGCCATGTACAGCAGGCCCTGCACAGCAAGGCTGGGATGCAGCTGGGCCCCTGGGTCTCAAGATCACAGCCACTCTGGGGTCCAGAGGCTGCTGAGTGACAGATGCCACCCCCCAACCTAACACAGGGACACTGAGAGGTCCAAAGTGGAAGGAGGATGGTGTCAGGGCAGGAAGGGGTCCAGGTGTGTGTGGCCCGGGGGCAGCTGCGCAGCTGTACCCAGAGTTCCTGTCAAGTGCCCCCTGCTGTGCTGCCTGGGGTGGTTGGGGCAGCAAGGCCTCAGGTCTGTGTAGGACCAGGAGGGACAAGGAGGTGGTGGGGTCCACCCCGTGCCTGTGCCCACTGATCCTGGGACCTGGGAGCTTGTTGGTCAGCAGGAGGGTGAGCTTCCAAGTTGCTGGCCTGCCGCCTTACACAGTGGGGAAACTGAGGCCTGTACCCCACCTTCTCCTGAAACCTCCTAACAGGGACCAGGCTGCAGCCTAAGGCGGTAATGAGGGGACCTTGCAACCCCTGCCAAGGTGGCCAGGCCCCGCTGGGCACCCGCCCCTCACAGGCCTCTCGCTGTGAGCGCTGGCTCTTCCCTGACCCAGGCCCTGGCTCCTCCTCCGTGTCCGAGGTCTGCCATCCTGTGCTGCACCCAGCCTGGCCCACCCCCTACATTATGGCAGAATCTGCCCTCAGCTTCTGATGCTGTCCTTGGTCCCAGCTCCGTGCCAGGCAGGGTTCACAGTCAGCCCAGGCCTTAGACCACTGTCCCTGTGTCCCTTGTCCACACGCTTGGGCTGCAGGACTTGGTACTGCTGCCCGCATGCCCAGGACCCATGTCTTCTCCTGGGAGTTGCTTGTCTTGGCTGGGTCCCTGCTTTCTCTGTGTCTCTCTACACTTGCCTGCTGCCTAGGTGTCACCCCTGGGGGCAGGGCTGGTGTGCAGGAGCACACACCAAAGACACACTTGTCAAACCGCGCATACAGGCTGCAGACTCCTGGGGTGAGGCCCCAGCTGGCTGAAGCCTCATGGCCTCGTTCCTCTCCAGGAAACTATGCCCCAGACATCCGTGGTCTTCTCCAGCATCCTCGGGCCCAGCGGTAGCGGACAGGTGCAGCCTGGCATGGGGGAGCGGGGCAGTGGCGCTGGCGGTGCTGGGGACCTCATTTTCCAAGACGGACGCCTTGTCTCTGGGTCCCTGGAGGCCTTGATGGAGCACCTGGTCCCCACTGTGGACTATTACCCCGACGTGAGTGCCTGGGCCTGGGGCGGGACGCAAGGAGACGTGGGTGAGGGGGACAGCGGGGGGGACAGGGGCTTGGGCGGGGGAGGGGGAGGAGGGGGCACGTGCTGGAAGCTGCCAGCCCTGGGAGAGGGAGAGACACAGAGGAGGGCTCTTCCTGAAGCCTGGAAGCCTGGTTCTTGCATGAGCCCCCAGGTGCAGAAGGAGGGGTCAGTTGCCCAGGTGTGGACCCACGGTCCCCTCCCCACCCTGGGGACAGAAACGGGTCTCTTCATTTGCCTGCTGGGTAGCAGGAGGAGGCCAGGCCTGCCTGTCCCTCCCCCACGAGGATAGCCACGCCCTGAGATCCGTACAGCACACAGGTGCATGCCCAGTGCCCTCACCTGGCCCCAGCCACCGGGAAGCTGCGCCCCTGTGTGACCACCTCGTTGGTCTGCCTGGTCGGGGCTACCGTAGAGGCAAGAGCAGGCACCCTATTGAGAAGAAGCCTTGGCCAGATGGGGCAGAGTCTGGGGCACACAGGCCCTGTGAAGATGGCAAGGCTCAGAACCCTTGGGGATCCACTGCGTGCAGACCACACCTCCACTGATCAGTCCCGCCTCTGCCCTCTTACTAGCCATTGCGTCACCCATCAGGCTTTCCAAGCTCCGCTGATGGCCCCGCCCCTTCCAAGAGGCCACGCCCCCATGTAAAGACCTGTCTGGGTCCCTGGGCAGGCCCTGCCCCCAAGAAATCCCTGCCCATCATTCCGCCCTGCCCCACAGGCCTCCAGGTTCTCCTGGGGCGCAGAGTGAGCAGGTTAGTAGGCAGGCACATAGAGAGTGCGGGGACCTAGCAGCGCGGTGTCAGAGATCACGGTTGTGTTCCTGATGGCATGGCCTGTGTCCTGTGTCCCTCCCCAGAGGACGTTCATTTTCACCTTCCTGCTGACCTCCCGGGTCTTCATGCCCCCCCATGACCTGCTGGCCCGTGTTGGGCAGATCTGCCTGGAGCAGAGGCAGCAGCTGGAGGCTGGCCCTGAGAAGGTGAGCTGGAAGGGAGCACCTGGGAGGGTGGGCACCGCACCCTCGAGTGGCGGCTGTACACTGATACCCCCACTGGCAGAGACCACGGTGCAGTCGGGCTGTCTGGGGAGCCCAGGGAGCAGAGGCCCCAGGTGGTGCCAGCTCACTGTACGTATCCTTAGTGTCACTGGCCGAACTGGCTGGACCTTAGGTCCGAAGCCCAGCATCCCTGCAGAGGGGTGTGGAGAGCTGTTCCAGCTCCTGCCTCCACCTGTGTGGCTGAGGCTTGCAGACGAGGCCATGGGTGGCCTGTGGCCCATCCGTCTCCTGGGGGGGGGCTGGCTTCTGGTGGCATGGCCCAAGGCACCTGCCAGCTAAGCATCCAGTTCCCAGGGCAGCAGGCAGTCATCCTGCACTGTGGCATTGCAGTCTGCCTTGGCAGGGAGGGCAGGTACTGAGCAGGGTTCTGGGGAGCTGCGGGTAAGGATTGTTCTGGCTTGTGTGGCATTTTTGGGGGGACAGAGTGAGCACCTCATCCCTGCCCCTTTTCTGGGCAGAGGTCCCAAAGCATCTTCCAAGGACAGTCGCCTTCCTGCACTCTCACCCTTGGCCCTCGTGGGAGCAGTACCCAACGGGTGTGGTATGGTATGGAGTGGCCTGGTGACCTCAGGGTGTCAGGCCTTGCTGATGCAGTGGCCGTGCAGCCACCCATGCCTGCCTGCCCTGGGCTCACTTGACGTCACTTCACTGTGGCTTTCTATGGGTGATATCTGACTACAACAAAGGAAACCAGTGCCTTGTGTCAGGTGCAGATGGGGTTGGGTTTTTGAAAATGAATGTACTTAAGTGACAAAGATGACCTAAGGGGTTGGGAAACAGGATCCTTTGGTGGGGAGTATGATTGTTGTCTCAGGGTTCACAAAGATTGAGTGGGGGGCCTCTCACTCTGTCCCCACTGCCCAGGCCAAGCTGAAGTCCTTCTCCGCCAAGATCGTGCAGCTCCTGAAGGAGTGGACAGAGGCCTTCCCCTATGACTTCCAGGATGAGAAGGCCCTGGGCGAACTAAAGGCTATCGCGTACCGGGTCACCCAGTGTGATGAGGTGGGGGTGGAGATGGTGTCCTCAGGAAGGGGAGGTCAAGGGACAGCCCCAGAGGTGTCCACCGTCACTCAGGGCTTTACTGGACTCCATCATACCCCCAGGGTCCTGGGTGGTGTCCACATACAGCAGCCGTGGGCATCTCTGGGCCCTGGAGTGGGCCGCATGCATGCAGGTCAGGGAGGTGTCTCTCCCTGGTGGGTGGGGCCTGGTGACACTTTCATTGTCCCCTCTGGCAGGAGAACGGCACAGTGAAGAAGGCCATCACACAGATGATCCAGAGCCTGCTGCTGTCCCTGGCCGCCAGGAGCCAGCTGCAAGAGCTCCGGGAGAAGCTGCGGCTGCCGGCTGTGGACAAAGGGCCCGTGCTGAAGGCCAAGCCACCGGCGGCACAGAAGGACATCCTGGGCGTGTGCTGTGACCCCCTGGTGCTGGCCCAACAGCTGACCCATATCGAGCTGGTCAGTGCCCCACATGGCCAAGCAGACGGCATGTCCACCACCATGGGGCCAGGGCTGCTGCCAGAGCTGCTCTCTGCCCAGGGCCACGGAGACCCTGCTGGCCATACTGGTGACACAGGGCTGCTGGCTGTGTGCAAGGGCAGCAGGTGCCAGCCTGCACTGGGCCCCAGGAGCATGGCAGCCTGGGAGTGAGGGGTTGGATGCAGTGCTGTGGTGGCCCTAGAATGGAGGGTAGGGGTGTGTGTGTGTGTGGGGGGGTGCCGCACTGCTTCGTCCCCTCCTCAAGCAGGCCAGTGACTTCCTGTGCTCTCCCCACAGGAGAGGGTCAGCAGTATCCACCCTGAGGACCTGATGCAGATAATCAGCCACACAGACTCACTGGACAACCACCACAGGGTGCGCATGCCGGGCACCATACCTGGGCTGTAGTGTGGGGTCCTCTGGTGCCTGCCTCGGGGTAGGGTGTGTGTGTGCTGGGAAGGCACGGCTAGGCCTGGGCGGGGCTGTCCAGCCGGGGTCCTCTGGATCTGTGACCTGCCTTGTCCCCTAGTGCCGAGGAGATATGGCCAAGACCTACAGCCTAGAGGCCTATGACAGTTGGTTCAACTGCTTGAGCATGCTGGTGGCCACTGAGGTGTGCCGGGTGAGTGCCAGGGCAGGGTGGGTGCCAAGGTGGGCCAGATGGGCACCATGGCGGGTGAGCAGCTGGCCCCTCAATTTGGGGGTGGGGCTCTAACACTGTCCCACCTGTCTCAAGGTGGAAGACGTGACTTTAGAAGGAAATGTGGGGTGCCCATTGCCAGGGCCAAGGGTTCCTGAAGGGACAGGGGCTCCCCTGTGCCCAGTGCCTTTCCCACACCCCAGGGTATGAGCTTCACTGGTCCTTGGGGCCCCCAGGGGAAACTGAATACTGAGCCGCTGCCCCCCACAGGTGGTAAAGAAGAAGCACCGGACCCGCGTGCTGGAGTTCTTCATCGACGTGGCCCGCGAGTGCTTCAACATTGGGAACTTCAACTCCATGATGGCCATCATCTGTGAGTGAGCAGGCCGGATTGGGCAGGGGCCTCCCCCACTGCTGTGGGTCCTGACCCTACCACTGTCCCTGCAGCTGGCATGAACCTCAGTCCTGTGGCACGGCTGAAGAAAACGTGGTCCAAGGTTAAGACGGCCAAGTTTGACGTCCTGGAGGTAGGCGCCTGGGTATGGTGCCGCCACCCCACACGGCGTCCTCAGGGGCCCGGGCCCTCTTTTCCCTCTGCCCCTGGGTGGCAGGCAGAGGACAGGTGTCAGCATCTGACAGAAGTGACCCCGCTCTCTGAACAGTCTAGCCACACCTCCTTGAGCAATGTCTCCTGGTCCCTATCCCCTGGGTGGCTTGGAGGTCGGGAGACCAGATCACCTGTGGCTCTGAGCACAGAATCTATCTTTCTGCAAAACATCTGTGTCTCGTGGGGCAAGTGGGTCTGGGAGGTGCTGGGGACTCCAGAGGAAGGAAGAGGTAGGGGCATCATGGGTGTGGGCAGGACAGCGGCAGCCAAGGTCTCCAGGACCCTGGGATCAGCAGGCACCTGGTCCAGGGCGCCGCCTGGTGGTCTGAGGCTCAGCAGCTCCCCCCAATCCTGCCCACAGCACCACATGGACCCATCCAGCAACTTCTGCAACTATCGCACGGCCCTGCAGGGTGCCACGCAGCGGTCTCAGACAGCCAACAGCAGCCGAGAGAAGATCGTCATCCCTGTGTTCAACCTTTTCGTCAAGGACATCTACTTTCTGCACAAAATCCACACCAACCACCTGCCCAATGGACACATCAACTTCAAGGTGCCAGCATGGCGAGGGCAGAGGCCACACGTCCTGGTGCCTTCTGGGGCTCCGGAGGGCCATCAGGGTGGGCTGCTATCTGGTTGTGAGGTTTGAGGCGCAGCTCCTGCTCTCTGGGGGATGACTTGGTCACAGAACTCGGGCCAAGGGAAACTGCGCTGGCCCAGGTTGCTGATTTCACCAGGGAGTTGGAGGAGGGGCCTGCCCAGGGTCAGAGCTTTGGGCGAGAAGCAGAGAGCAGGGCAGGCTGCCTGGGTGCGTGGTGGTGGGCAGGTGAGTGGCTTTTTCGTGGTCCTGAGTGGGAGATGGCTCAGACCCTGCTGCTGTGCTGGGCAGCAGAATGGAGGGCCTGGGGGACTGGGCCAGCTGTGAGGCTCATGGTCACCATGGCTGTAGGTTTGCTATGCAGACCCCAGACCCAAGTCCCTGCCCTTGACGATGGGTTCTAGGCTCAAAATGACAGACATCCCCCTGGCTTTGTGTCCCTTCAGAAGTTCTGGGAGATCTCCAGGCAGATCCACGAGTTCATGACCTGGACACAAGTGGAGTGCCCCTTTGAGAAGGACAAGAAGATCCAGAGCTACCTGCTCACGGCGCCTATCTACAGCGAGGAAGGTAGGTGCCCCAACTCCACGCAGCCCCAGGCTTCTGTGGCTACTCGAGCCACCGACCAGGAGGGCAGTCGCGCAGGCTGGATGCAGGCAGGTGACAGAGGACAGGAAAGGCTGCCAGCAGGGAGATAGGCTTGGAGTCCCTCATGGGCAGCCTCCCAGCAGATGCCTGCATTTGGTGGAGGCCCTGGTCCCCTGGCAGGGACAGCTGGGTGCAGTGGGCAGGTGACATGGGTGGGCGCTGGTGCTGAGGCTGCCCTGTCCCTCAGCTCTCTTCATCGCCTCCTTCGAGAGCGAAGGCCCCGAGAACCACATGGAGAAGGACAGCTGGAAGGCCCTCAGGTATGGGGGTACAGGCTGAAGGGCTACGGGGGCAGAGGGCTGGGCATGCCCGCAGGAGATTGAGCACCCCTGTGCTCTGTCCCCCAGGACCACACTCCTGCACAGAGCCTGAGCGGGACGTGCTTGCACCTCTGGATGCCACGACACGCACGCACAGTCCCGGTGGAAATGGGTGGAGACCAGGAGGCCTCACTGGTTGGGGTCCATTTTGTATATAACTTTTATGAAAAAGAAAAATGGTAATTATTTCACGCATTGACCTTTGGCACTTACAAAGATTTTTGTTTATTTTGAGTAACAGGGCAGGGCCCTGCTTTGGGGAGGGGTGGGAAAGAGTATCAAGGGAGATGCTATCGAGGACAGCATCTTCTGCGGAAATGTAGAGTTTTATTTTCTACTTTTGATTATGAACATCTTATGAGAAAATATTTAGAAAAACCCAACCAAAAGCAGCAGCTCGAGCCCGGCCTGCTTGGATGCCTTCCCAGCCAGTCTCTGACGTCGGGTTAGTGCCTTAGAGGGTACTGGGCTCTGGTCCTCCTGCTCGGGCCCTGCCCTGGGCAGCGGCTCTGGGGGAGGCCTGGGGCTGGGGCTGGGGCTGGGGCTGGGGCTGGGGCAGTGAGCCTTGATGCGGGCTTTCCAAAGTTTACATTTTCATTTTCCTTTATCAGGGATTTAGGGGTCCGGGAGGGCAAGGGGGTGGCCTGGCAGCCTGTGTTCTGCAAGACCACGTCTTATGGATTGATCCTTAATGCATTTTTGAAAAGAGCAAATGTGAAGTAACAGGGGAGGGCTTCCTGGCCTTCTGTGAGGGCTTTTAACTGAGAAACATGCTGAGCCGTCCCAAGGAGCTCAGAGTGGACGCGGGGAAGGTGCCGTTAGAGTTGCTTCTGAAGCCCCACACAGGAGACTGAGGGGCTCCACGGGTGTGCGGGCGCCGTCCAACGCCCCTTGCACAGAATCTGGACCGGGAGGATCGCTGGGCAGGTCCACCGGAGCCCTTTCCACAGAACTGCCCAACTGCGCTGGGTGCGCATGCCCACCCAGGGCACCGACCCACGCCCCATGCCACCTCCTGGCACGGACCCTGGGCCTTACTGACTGGGTCGGCGCTGCTGCTGGCCACACCGCCTCCCTGGGCGCCTCGCCCTGCCCGCTCCGGGCTGCGGGGCCTGAACCACAGCGGCCCGGTGTCTGCACTTTCCCGCCTGAGGGACGGGTGGCACAGGACCTTGCGTACTGCTCTGTTTACGCTTTGGGATGAGAAGGCTGAAAATGAGAATATATATTTGGATACGGAGTCAGAACACCTCCCATGTGTCAGTGTGTGCTTGGTCTCGGTTCTAGTACTTGAAGCAGTGTCCGCCTTTGCTACTTTCCTTTCCCGATTTGATACACAGCCTAAATGCAATGTCTGGTATCTGGAGGTGACCTGAGTATAACGCTGTACCATAATGCAGGATGTCAGTTTTGGTGTGATCGGTCATACTTGCATCAATAAAAGAACATGTCGTTTCCTGCCTGCCAGTGCTTGTGTGTGTAGTGAGGCTTGGGGGGCGGGGGAGGAGGAGGTGGCAGCAGCTGCCAGCACCCTCTGTGGCCCTGGGCAGGCAGCCTCCATCTGCTGTCCCACATGGGACTCGTAATGCTTCCTCAGAGCACAATGCAGAAGACACTGCTGGGTGTGGCGTGCACAGCCACACTCGGAGGTCACCTCCTTAATCAAGGTCATGGAGGCCTCTTCCCTGCAGGCCTGGCCCGCACCTTGGTGGGATGGGTGCCATGAGTTACACACATCGCAGGGTGTGCTGAGGGAACGTCCCAGGGTGCCTGGGACGGGCAGAGGGGTAGCTGGTACTGTTTCCCCAGCCTTCCCTCCTTCCTGACGACAGCCCATGGGGTGAGCCCCTTGCTGCAGCTCTGCAGGACTTGATGAGATTGGTGTATGGCATCCTGTGAGCTGGTGGCGCCCAGCAGGAAGCTGTCTGCAGGGGCAGGACATCCTATGGCTGCACCACTCGGATCTGGTCATGTGGGAATGGATGCTGTCATGTGGCCACCATGCCCACCTCAACGGCACCGGTGGGGTAGGTTGCGCTAATGGACTCCTCTGTGCAGTGGCTCCTGGGCTAGTGCCTGGCCAACAGCCCTTACGTCCCTTGTAGGCACTGAACTGGGCACCCTGCATCCCTGACACCCGTGCATGTAGCATAGCGTGCCTACCAGCACACTAGTGTCCCTGGGTGCTCCCAGGAGGCGTGGCCATGCCCGGCTTCCCCTCCCCTGCTTGTGTACCAGCTCAGCCTCAGAGCAGAGCTAGCTCCTCTGCAGCGAGCACCACCTCCCACCTGGCTCGGGGAACCCCTCACTGTGGGAAGCCCCATGATGGGGTGCACATACCCATGCTCCGGGAGGCCGAGCAGGCCAGGGTCAGAGCCGTGGGTGAGATGGGAGCTCTGGGCCTGAGGCCTGGCCCCAGCTCACCGAAGCTGGGACGAGTCACTTACCCAGAGTTAAATGGGGGTCACAATCACATCTATGTTAGGCTGAACAGGGGACGGCATTGGGTGCAAGCCTGGCAACATGGACGTCCTGGGCCAAAGACACACCACCATCGTGAAAGCCACTTTGTGGTTAAATTCAACCATTACACAAGCTTATGAGGGAAAACATTTGTGTAAATTTGGAGTTTAAAACATGTTTCTTAACACACACCCTGTAACCCACCCATGCCCAGTTTGGATGATGTCTAACAGGGTGCATCTGTATCCCCCAGAAGAAGTCCTAACGCTGTGAGGAAGGCAAGGAAGGGCCGTCGAGTGTGTACCCTACAGTCCCGGGCCCCAGGCACGCCTCTGCAGAACGTGCCAGCCCATCTTGCCCCAGGCGTCCTGAGTGCTTTGCGAGACCCAGGGACACCCGCAGGGGATGACAAGCATTCTGGCACCCAAGGGAACACCCCTCAGGGTGACAGCCTGATGCTAGCTGCCCTGAGTCTACTGCAGAGCTTTAGGAGAATCACTGAGCCGAGTCCAGGAGACCGCGTAAGCCTCACCCAGCTGTGTGGCACGAATCACATGGCCCCACGGACCAAGCGTGGACAGCGTGGCAGAGCCCTGAACTGGCCCTGGCTCCAATCACTCCATACAAGCGAACACCTGCCCTGTGTTCTAGGTTTCATGATCTCCCCTCAGGCCTGTCGCACCTTCTGTTATTCCTTTCCACTGGGTTTTAATATTTGATCATTGTGGCTTTCACTTCTACATGTTCTATTTGGTGTTCTCAAAGTCTGTCTGGCCACGATTCAGAAGAAGTTACTGTTACACAATGTATAACAACAAAACCAAGGATTTGGGCGCAAGCAGTGCAGGCTGCAGTGACAGCCTCAGTACACGACAGCAGCGCCACCGAGCACGGGCCAGGCAGAGACGACACGCGAGCACCCAACAGCTGAAGAGAAACAACAATCCCAGGAGCCCGAAGACCCACGTGCAGACACAGCAGAGGGACAGAGTCCAGCCAGGAGAAGGGGGTATGGGGCCCCGGAGGACGGCCTGTCCCTCCACTGCTCAGGCCATGCCAGGCAGCAGTGCACAGCGGGCCACAAGTCCAGGAGATGGGAGAGACGTGTGGTTGAAAGGAGCGGCCACCAGGACTCTGCCCTGCAAAACACATCGCCAAGAGGACAGGAAGACAATCGAAGGCAGACTGACGCTCACAGGCTTTAAACTCCAAACAAAAGGAAACAAACATATTGTGTGGTTGGTCTTACACAAGAAACTCCTGTATAGGTAAGGTGCAAAGTAAAAAGTAGAGCAAAGGAAAACAAGAGAGAAGGTATTGTAATCTAGCATGGAAAGTAGATCTAAAGGTGGATCTTGACTTAGTGTTTACACTGTCTCAGGGGTTTCGTAGGTGTTTAGCCCGTTGTCTGGCTATTAATCTGCGTATAGCACAGCTGACTTCACAAGGACTCGCTAATTCCCCACAACAAACGATATCACTATGTACTGAAACATGACTAATAAAACTGAAAACTTAAAAAGAAACAAAAAAATATCGCCAGATGCACTGTAGATCTAAATTTGAAAAACAACGCAAGACAGTAAGAGAGACATGAAAATTTCTATTGCAAATTAGAGTAGATTACTTACATTAAACTCTGGCTATGAAGGAAAAAAACTGATGAACTGGATTTATTATAGTTAGGATCTTTTGTTTAAGGGGGTGAAAAATAGGGCCTTCCCGGGGGAAGATGTTTGGAATATATAAATCGGACAAAGGAGTCAAATCCTGAATGCAGGTTTGTGGATGTGGCTCCATGCAAAGGCCTGGGTTCATTCTCCAGTGCACAGTGAGTAAATTAATAAGGCAGACAGATACCTTTGTAAATTCCATCCAGATTTGCAAAGGTATTAGTATAAATTTCTAGAAAAGTATAATTTATCCAAAATACTTCGACAACACACTGACTAGATAAAACAAGATCCGAGTAGTTCCACAATCATTAAATGAACAGAAGCCATGATCCCCAGTCTCTTACAGGAGGTCCCTGGCCAGGTGGCCGGGGCAGCATGCCAGAGCCCCTAGAAGAACCAAGTGCGTCTAGAAACGGTGCAAGGGGTGCTGGTGACCTGAGCTGTTCTATAAACTCAGGTAACCTTGACAGAAAAGGCCACCGTGGCTAAGAAAGGTAAGGGACAGGCAGTCTTCCTCGCAGACACAGAGGAGCACATCTGAATCTCTCACATGCACACACTCATGCATACACACACTGCACAGAGATGGACACACACGTGCAGACGTGTGAACCAAACTCAGCAATGCACAGGATAAAACCTGACCAACTGGAGTCTGCCCAGGCAGCACAAGGCTCCATCAGAAAACCTATGAACCCAGTTCATCAACATAGCGAGGGAGGAAAAAGTCAGGACATGTTGACACCTGTAATTAAGGTATTTGATAAATGCTCTGAAGTAGGACAGAAACTCACCAAGTAAAACCAGAAGGACACTTTCTTAGCTTGCTCAAAGTTGCTCTCCAAAGCCTTCCAGCAAACACCGTCCTTACAGATGACCTGCCAATGCGACGGCCTTGGGCTCTGTCCCATGAGCCCCATCCCACTGCCGCTGTCATGGCAGGAAAATGGGACAGCACAAGGAAGCTGGGAACAGAAATCCAGTGTCTGAAAAAGGGAGTGAAATGAGGCTCTCAGGTATCTTAGGGCTGTGTAACAAGACAAATGCAAAATAAACTCAGAAATATAGCGATACTTTGGTTCATGAACTTAATTTGTCTTACGATTTCAGAAAAGATGGTATGATTGTGTTTGTGTGGGAAAGATGGTTTCAGTGGTGACTGCCACCCAGTGCAGAGTTTGCAAACAAAAACAAAATTTTGCCAAATGCTTCTGGGTGTAGTGGTACATGCTTGTAAACCTCATTTTTGGGAGGCCGGACAGGAGGGCTGTTGCAAATTCAAGTCCAGCCTGGGACACACAGCAAGTTCAAAGGCAGCCTAAATCATACAGTGAGTGATACACAAAAACAAACAAAACCCAACTCAAGTGTTGCCAGATGCTCTGTTTGTGAACCAAACTCCTTGCAAACAAAAGCATTCACCAGGGGCTGGGGATTTAGCTCAGCGGCATAAGCGCCTGCCTTGCAAGCAGGCAGTCGTGAGTTTGATCCCTGGTACCGGTAAAAAGGAAAAAGACAAAACAAAAAAAAAACAAAAACAAAAAAAAAAAAAAAAAAAAAAAGCATTCGCCAACTGAGGTACCACTGTACATTACTGGAATTAAAGAGATTTTAGGAAGGTTTCTGAACACAAAAATTAGCATGCAAAACCAATGATTTCTAAACATCAGCAAGAAACAATAAAAATTGGTAAGAGACATGTACAATGCTACTGAAAAGCAGAAATCTAAAGAAAAATACATATAAGTCTGCTACGTTTAAAAATTATAAACTCACCTGAAAGGCAGCACAGTAGACAGATGTTTAGGAATTAAAGACTCCACATCTCACAGAAGTTGTTCTTTTTTTTTTTTTTTTTTAAATTTTTTGTGTCTTTTTCTTGTTTTTTTTATCGGTACGGGGGATTGAACTCACGACTGCCTGCTTGCAAGGCAGGCGCTTATGCGGCTGAGCTAAATCCCCAGCCCCTGAAGCTGTTCTTCTTAAAGTGATTAGAGATTCAGTAAGATCCCAGACTCACACAGTTTTTTTGTGAAACGTTTATTTTAACGTCTATATGACTTTTTAGGCTGTGACAGCCACGGTTGCTTTCAGGAGCAAGGCACCTGGCCAGGCACTCCCAGACAGGCACGAAGGTGCAGCGCCTCTGCCCTTAGCTGGCCAGGATGGGCAGGACCTGTGGGGGCGAGGTACAGGCTCCCCGAAAGGTGGTGCTGGATAATGAGGAATGCAACACTCAACTGACATCACAAAACTCTTCTCTGTTAGGCTGCAGATCTGAGAGCAGCAAAGCTGTTTGTGAGACGTTTAGAATATGCATTACCTTTAAGAAACTCTTCTCTATTATCAAGTTATAACCAATGATAAAAATTAGAAGCCAACGTCTCACCAAAGACATGGTGGAAAGGAAACAAGCAAAGATGCCCATCGCTGTGTCCACGGGGAAATGCAAACCAGGCACCAGTGGGACATCACTTGGGCCCGAGGTGAACGGCCAATATAGAACAGACCCACACATGCTATCAGGAGGTGAACAGGATTGCTTGTTGACAGCTGGTGGGGCGCACAGTGACACAGTCACTTTAGAAAAGCCTGTGGGAGTTACACAACACCGAACACACGCTACCACACAATCTGGAAGTTGTGCTCCTTGGTTTGCCTAAAGGGGCTGAGTACTCACATCCCAACAAAAACCCGCCAATGGATGCTTACAGAACTTTGTTCAAAATTGTCAAAACCAGGAAGCACCCAAGCTGTCCATCCGTAGGTGAGTGAAACATGGTCTATGCGACAATCCGACCCCAAGAGGGAGCCCAATGTGAACGGCGACTTGGGTTATCGTGTGCAGACGTGGGTCCATCGACCCTAACCTAAGTGTCACCCCAGGACGGGGCACTGGTGGGGGCTGTGCATGTGTGTGAACGCGAGGGACAGCTGCCCCCTCATCCCGAGGTCGTGACAGACGCAGCGCATGCACGAAACCGGAGTAGAGCCAAACACCATTATGTATACAAACAGAGGATAAGAGCTTGACTTGTAAATTAAGCACATTAACAGGTCAATGCTAGGACAGTTATGTCAATATACTTTTTTTTTTTCTTTTTCTTTTTTATCGGTACAGGGGATCGAATTCACGACTGCCTGCTTGCAAGGCAGACGCTTATGCTGCTGAGCTAACGTCAATATACCACGCAAAGCTCGTGAACGTGGTCGGTCCTGAAAGCCGCCGTACTGCACTCACCCTTCACGCGGTGAGTGAGGACGCGACCACACCTGCACCCTGAGTACGCGCGGAAGCTGCACAGTGTTGTGGTGCCGGCTGGCCTTCCCAAGGGAGCAGACATCACCCTTGGCCAGGGGGGGCCTGACGCCCAACTGGTGCACGGTGGGCAGCAGGCAGGGCAGGGGCTGGCTGGACAGGGTGGCGCTTGTCCCAGGCAGCTGGAAGCTGGACCGCGTGAGGTTTCATCACACTACTCAGAAGGGCACAGATTAAAGTTTTATAGGTTATTTCTAGGATTCCCCACTTAGTATTTTCTAACCATGGTTAAGTCAGAGTGCAGACAGTAAGCCCTTGGGTGGAGGACACTGCTTGATAGGGTCACTTCTTGCACCTTCGGCTCAGTCTTTTTTGGGCGGGGTGGACCAGGAATCAAACCCTTGACCTCGCGTGGCGCTTGCCAGACAGGTGCTGTGATGCTGAACTCTATTCCCATTCTCTAGGTTTTATTTTTTATTCTGCTCAGTCTTGCTCTGAACTTAAAAACTGTTCCAAAAATAAACTTTATTTTAAAAAGAAGGTATCACAAGGGAATAAGAAAACCCACATTAACTTTTTTTTTTCCACATTAACTTTTGTTCATCAAAAAATACCAGCAGAATGGAAAGAGACGAATCACATCCTGGGAGATACCTGCAAACATTTACCCAAGGAGAACTGCTGTAGGAGAGTGTAAGGAATTCCTGGGACCTGCATGGGCAAAGAGGCTGGAAATGCAAATCATGACTACAGTTCATCTCTACCGCCCACTCTCTGGCAGGAATCAACAGCTCTGACGAAACCTGCATGGCCAGGGCTGCAAGGTGAGACGCGCAACAGTCAGACTGCAGACAACGAAGTAACGCAGAACTGGAAACACCACAGACATTTATCAATAAAATAGAATTTGAAAGTATCACGGTATACTCGTAATAGAGTATCACTGAACTAACAGTAATAGAAGTGAATTTCAAGATTAACAATGGATAAACTCCGAAAACAATACTGAGTAAGAGGACATATAATGAAATTATATATATGTATACATATACGTATATACATATATATATATATATATATATATATAATACTTTATATTCTAGACTGGGCAAAATGAAACAGTATATCGGGCAAAGATACACATGCCATTGGAAAATATGAGGAGAAACAAGTGGGAACACCACAGTCAGCTACGTTGGCAGTGTGGAAGGGTGCCCAGGGCCCAGCACCGGGAAGCCAATATGTCCACCTGGGGGGTGGGGCTCTGGGGTTTGCTTTATTATTAAGTACATAATGGTATATAACACACATTTTTGGAATTATGAGACTTTATAACATAAGTTAATTTACCATGTTATTTAATACTTAGTAATAAAATACTTTATTAGTACCATTTAATGTCACAACATAGTGACGGTTCCACTGCTTAGCTTCCATCTTTAGATTATAAACCAGTTTAAAAAAATAAGAGTAACGGAAAAACCATCTGATTCTCCCACGAAGGCAAGTGGCAGCTGTTACAAATAACTTAATTCTCTCAGTTTAATACCATAATTCAGTGGTCTTCATAATAAATAGCTGCATATAAAAGGAGACAATGGCCTGCCTCACTTTGGAGAGAGCTTTCACGTAACCTAAGAAATACTCCCCTAACCTAAAATTTGTACGAACAGTTAGTCACTGTAAAATTGGACTCATGTAGCACCTGGAAATTGCAATCTGCAAGATTTCAGATACACAAGTGACTGTGCCTCTCCTGTGAATTTGGGGTTTATATACAAACACTGGGGCATCTTAAAGGCAAAGGTTACAAAGCTTAGGTCTTTCAACTCTTCTCCCAGCTCTGGATGCAGCCAATGCCCCAGTGGTAAAGGGCTGGCTGCCGCGTGTGATGGACCTGTGGCTCCGTCTGGTCTGAGCACCGCTGCTCACTCATCTTCTCCCTCTGGTGTCAGACTTGAGTAAAACATCGTTTGCCTCTGATGCGTTTCCTTAGAGCCGCTGCCATTCTCCTTTCTGTTGGAACACCAGCCTTGCTCTTCTACCAGGCTGATCTTATACCTCATTTGGTTTTCTCCTTTAGAGAAATTCTCTTTCCACTCAAAGTATTATAGCAATGTAAATACAGATGTAGCGAACGTCAGCATATCAGAAAACAAAGGATAATAATATAAATGTATCCATGCCTGAGGAAAGACAAAGCAGAAACCAAACCCTTGTGTCCAGCTTATAGAACTGCTACTCGGGACATGGCTGGCAGCCTGCACGCCAATATATAAAATGCTCTGTTAAAAATGTTCCCAAGCCAGGCATGCGGTGCATGCCTGTTATCCCAGTGTTATCCCAGCACTCGGGAGGCCGAGGCAGGAGGATCACTGCAAGTTTGAGGACAATCTAGGCTGTAAAGTAAGTTTGAGACCACCTGACCTGCACAATGAAACCTGTCTTAAAAAAAAATAACAACAAAAAAAAATTTCCATATTTACTTCTTTCACTCAAAGCAGCTGACAGCAACGCTACTGATCCAGAACACGGCGATATACTTCATGTTCTAACCTACTTTGTACGTTCCCCGTCTGCTTAGGAATAGACCTCTGGGGGCTAAGCAACAGGATGTTGCGGGGTTTCTTTCTAAGTTCTGTCGACCAGTGGGATTTCAGATGCAGTGCTTCATTCCACACTGCTTCCGCAAGCTATAAACAAAGCTCTCATCTGAAAGGGAGGCAGGCTGACTGCTGTGCTGGTCAGCAGATGGCACAGCTGCCTGTGCCCACAGGAAGCCTCTGTGCTCCAGGCCAGCCTGCCGTCCTGCACCTGCCACGCTGTCTGATGCTACATAATCCCCCAAGCACTTGTAGGGCAAACACTGGTTTCCTTTTGTGACTGCTCCACCATGTAGTATGTCACAAAGCAGGCTCTGCCCTCAAACACTCACTTTTCCTTCTCGTAACTTGGTTAACTGCAGAAACATCAGAATGAGTGTGAGAAACACATCTCCTCAGGACAGGCCTGGCTTCTAGAAGAGGAATTAAGGCCACACGAACACTGTGGGCTTGTGGTCAGACTGCACGCCACTCGCCTTGAGTGCTAGCCGGCGGCCTCGCTGTTCGTCCGGTAGGCCTGCTTGTGCAGGTGCATCTCGATCTCCTCCCGGAAGACCATCATGCCCAGGTGGGAGTGTGAGGCCTCGCTCATGGCCTTGGACTGGATGCACATGCGGTACTGCTCCGGCGTCAGCTCATCGGCACAGTGCTTCTCGTGCCACAGGTGGAACAGACCGGGAACCGGGGTCCGGACCACAATCAGGTCGCTGTGCAAGTACTTCCGGTACAGGTGGACATCTTCTCCACCCCAGCCCTTCACTTCCATGTCGAACCCACCTGCGGAGGGATCAGTGCACACAGTCAGTGGCTGCCCGGCCGCAGGAGGACAAACCTGCCATCAGCCGGACTTCAGGGCTCTGCTTTAGTATGACAGCCTGGCCCCGTACGAGCACTGGACGGCGCCCACCGGCTCATGGCATTTGGCCAGTAGCTGCCTCACTCTCGGGGCCGGGAGCATGACAAAGAGGCCAAGCCTCTGAGTACATGATGTAAACCTCAGAGTCCTGCAGGAAATCAGTGAAGGAGAAGGAAGTATACGTCACCTACACTATCATCACGATCAAGGGTTCGTTTTTTGTTGGTTTTTTTTTTTTGAGACAGGGTCTTGCTATGTGACTCAGGCTGGGCTTGAGCTCCCTGTGTAGTGGCGATCCTCCTGCCTCAGCATCCTGAGTGCTGGGATTACAAGCATGCAGCACCACAGCTCGCCTTTCTTCTTTTATCTTTTGAGACACAAGTTTTCCTGGGCTGCAAAAACTTCCCAGAGGGGAAAACAGAAGAGAGGGCCAAGCTGGAGACAGAAATTTGGAGAGGGATACACAGATGATTTGAAGTCATGGGAATGAGTGAAATTATTTACATTTCTGAAGAAGTATAAGGGCAAGGCCCAAACACTAAAAAATGTCTATCTGCAGAGGTTTACCAGAGGCAGAGAAAGGTAATCAGCAAAACAGCCTGAGACGAGGCTCCAAATGAAGCAGCAGCAGCCTCTGATGATTCCGGCACGGGAAGGGGAAAGGCAGCATTCTGCAACACACCTGGGTATTCTATTCTCAGCGAGCCTGATCTCGAGAGAGCTGTGTGAGGCTCAAGAGGGCGTGGCGCGCAGCTGAGGGAAGCACTGGCCCCAGGTCAGAGCCGCCCTGCTGCAGAGGAAGGGCGGCCTGCTGGGACACGGCCTCTGTAAGTCCCAGACCTCTCAGAGCTAAAAGCGCGCCCCTTCCCCCGCCTCCCATGTCACCCAAAGCCTGTGGACTACTGTCCTGTCCACCCACTGCCTTCAGTTCAGCTCTGAACAGAAAAAGTAAAGGGCAAAAGGCAGTCTGAAGAAAGTAAACCCCAGACCCGGAGTCAGATGAGGCAGGACTGCTGGAATCACCATGCTGGAAATTTAAAACAATTACAATTAATATGTCTAACAGAATAAGTAGACAGCATGTTGGGTAAGGAACATAAGCAAAATGGAAATTCTAAGAAAGAATCAAAAAAGGAATGCTATAGATCAAAAACATATACGAGAAATGGAGACCGTCTTTGATGAGCTCGTTGGAAGACTGAACATGCCTGAAGAATAAATCTTTGAGTTTTGGGATATGACAACAGAAACTTCAAAACTAACAGCAAAGAGAAAAATGTCTGAAAATATACAACGAAATATCCAGGAGCTGTGGGGCAACTACAAAAGGCACAACATACGCACAATGAGAGAATGTGACAGTTAAGCTTGACGGTCACCCAGGAGATCATCAGATCACACCTGGGTGTATCGGGGTGGGTCATGCAGGTCGAGCTTGGGGTGTATGTGTGGTCCTGGCCCCTTTCTCTCAGGCAGTGCTGTTCCACGGCACCTCTCTGCATGATGTTTCTGCTCTGGAGCCTGTTCCACGGTGGACTGAACCATCTGACATTGTGCGCCAAATAAGCCTATCCCCCTCTAAGCTGGAGGTGTACCAAGCAGTCAGGTTGTTGCCGTGACTCTACTTGACCATGTGGCTCTGCAGCCTTTGGAACTGGTTTGCAGGAGGTGTTTAGGAAGGCTCAAAGATGTGGCCTGAGAAGCCATCAAATCTGTACACAGAGCAATTCTGGTCAGAGCTCAGATCCAAATGCTGATAGGAATGAGACGGTAAAGGCCAGGTTCATGAGTTTTCATTTGGGAAGTAAGACTTAATGGAGAACTGGACACAAGGCCAAGTGTGTTACATTCTGACAAATAAATTGACTACATTCTGCCTGTGTCCTAAAACTTTGTTTGAGCATGGATTTAAAGGGAGCAGACTAACTGATCCGATCAGGGAAATTTTAAGGTTGCTGAAGATTTCAGGTTGTGGCATGGGTACTGCTGGCTCTTTTTAGCCAGATATACTGTGAGAACTGAGGCAGAGAGTAGAGCAGAAAAATTTGAAAAACTTAAGTTTGGCCCACAGAAATACCATGTATGAACCTGGGGCCAAACGAGGTGTTGTTCCTGAAAAGGTTTGTGCCATTAAAAAGACACCAAGTATTTTGAAACAGCTCAAGATGCCACCTTGAGGGCATCTTGGGAATCAGCAAGGCCCCAGTCATTAGGCTCAAAGGTGCAAAGGTATAAACCCTTCACTGGAGGACAGAGGGCCCTAGGCCCTCTGCTAAGGAAGAGCAGCCTAGGGTATTGGTTTCCTGGGGTTCCCTAGGACTCCACCGTGCTCAGCCATCCAGGCACTCAGAGGCCACTCCAGCCACGACCCAAGGTCATCTTCGTGCTGGTGTCATTCATGTCATACTCCTGACCTCGGTGTCATCTATATAATACTGCTTTTCCAAGTATGAGAAATGCAACAGTTGTGGTGTCATGGAGGCTTCCACTATGATTTTTTTTTTTTTTTTTTGGTCTTTTTCATTTTAATCGGTACCGGGGATCGAACTCACGACTGCCTGCTTGCAAGGCTGGTGCTTATGCCACTGAGCTAAATCCCCAGCCCCTCCACTATGATTTCAAAGGCAGGCTTGGGAAACCAGACACTGTGGCCCTCAGAGGAGGCTGCTGAAGCTATGAGAAGGAAAGGAAAGGTGCAGCGGAGATCCCAGGAGAACAGATGCTGGGCACACGGAATGCTGGCTAAGGAAAGTTGCAGGCAGAGGACAGAACCGGCCCAGAAGACATATGGGTTACACTAAGAAGGCCGCGGGGGGCTGCCTCAGCCCTCTCTCTGGACCTCGTATCTCATCACCATGTGACCCAGAAGGTCCAGAGCTACAGGACTTACTGTTTGCACTGCTGGGTTTCTGGCTTGCTTTGACACTTTTTTCTGTTCTTCTTTGGGAATGAGTGTAATTGTACTTTGATATTAAGGAACTCACTTTTAAATTTTACAGAGGTTCACAGCTAAGAGTTCACCAAGAATCTCAGAGGAGACTAGGCTTCAACTCTGAACTGTTGAGACTTCGGGGGAAGAAATTATTCCATTTTCAGTTGTATGAAGGATAACTGTATCATGTGAGGCAGGATTATAAACTTAGTTCTGTCTAATTTGGAGGCTAAGCATGGTTTAGACATGTTTTGAGTATCAAGCTGACAAGGAGTATGTTGTAACTCGTGTTTAGATGTCTCCCCAAAGCCTCATCCATCATAGGTGGGTATTTTCAGCAGTGGCTGGATCTAGACTGTGGGATGCTAGAATTGTTTCACAGTACAATGCTAAAATCATGGCATCAGGATTAAGGGTGTGAGTACCACCCACCCTACACAGCCTGGATAAGACATAAAGGATAGAAAGAGCTGTGGTCACCCCTTGTTTGTTTTGCTACCTTTTGCCCACCATGAACTGTTTCTCCTCTTCAGTGCTTCCCTGCCATGCCACCCTGCCTTGGAGCCAAATGACTATGCACTGAAACTTCTACAGACTGTGAGCCAAACAAACCTTCCTCCCTTAACTATGGATGTTGGGCATTTTGTCTCATCAATGAGAAAAGTGTGGAATATGACAATTAAGCTGTATTGTCAACTGGACTGGCTTGTCAGCCACCCAGAGATTAGTAAAGTACACTCTGGGTATGTCTGGGTAATCACTGGGTAAGACCTTAGAGTCTGTATCTGGGCTCCGGTTCCTCCTCTCTGGCACTGCTCCGTTGTTCCACTTCTGACTCACCATGAACTAAGCAACTTTGCTCCACCGTGCCCCTCCACCATGATGCTTCTGTCATATAGCCAGCAACCATGGACTGGACCCTTTGAAGCTGTGAGCCAACATAAACCTCTCCTTTAAACTGTGAACTTAAAAATGTGGTATCATTTCCCTCACCACCAGCCAGTTACACCCCTAGGCTTTACTCTAGACATGCAGGCAGAGAGTACTGGAGCCCCCACTGCCTCTACCCAGTACTCGCTTGTAGCACAGGGATATCACTTTGCTTTACGGGAAGTGCACAACTGTGGTCCTCAGTTCCAAGAGAAGCTCAGAGAAGAGGTCCACAAGAACACAGAGCTCCAATGCTCTTTTCAAAAGAATTGACCATCTTTGAAACAGAGTATAAGGAAAGTCAAGCTTCAAGAAGGGGGCTTTTGAAATAACAGTGTGGTCATAAGCAATTAAGAGGAGGACGGTGACTCCATGAAGACAACAGCTAACCACAGGCTGGCTAGGTTACCAGAGGGCACCCCGGAGACAGACAGCTGAGAAGATCCCTTCTGGGCTCCACACCGACCTCAAAGATGGCCTCCAAAATTACCCTTTTAAAAAGCCCAAATTAACTGGTTCACATCACAGAGCAATTTATACCCTGAGCACTGTCAAAAACAAGACAGCAATTAGTGAGCAGCAATGGACCAATAAAGGCATAGGAAGAGACCAAGACAGCCCTGCCAAATGCAGTGCACCCAGGAAGAGAGTGCAAGTGCTCTGAGAGTGGCAACAGAGGTCTGGCATTGGTAGGGGTGCAAGAGGAAGGAGAACGAATTCACCAAACAGTTCAGCCGCATCCATGAGGGGATAAGAAAAGACAAAGACAAGCCTCGGAAGAGTGGGGTGTCGGTATCCAGAGTTGCCACAACACATTACCTAAAACATTGGTTTTCAAAACAGAAAGTATACAGCACACAAAGAAGAGGGAGGTGGGCCATACACCAGAGAAAAAGCAAGTGACGAAGACTGCAGTGATAGGGCCCGTGTTTTCTTCAACAGACAGAGGTCCCCAAGCAGTCACTCCAAGAACGGTCACAGAGTCAAAACAACTTATGCTTGAAGAGTAGCAGATGGTAATATGACAGTGTCTTATCAAATAGAGACTACTACCAAAGACACAGATGTTACACATACTATATACACTACGTATGTGGAGCTGAATGGAACTTCTGTAGTTAAAAAGTATGATAAAGGAAATGAAAGATTCATTAGAGCAATTCAACAGTAAATCTGAACTAACAAAGGAGAAATTCAGAGAACTTGAAGACAATTTCATGGAGCGCAAGCACTCAGATGAACAGAGGAAGAAAGAACAAAGAGGATGAAGTGGGCTTCAGGGAAAGGCAGGGTGCACCAACACACATACACTGAGAGAATCAGAGGGAGAGAACAATCAGAAAGGAGCAGAAAACAATACAGACATATTGGCCAATAATGAACAATACTATTGTGTCTATTCCAACAAACCCCATTAACCCAATTAATAACGTGCAAAAGATAAGAACAGATACCCCACTAAGCAAGATATATAACCTGGCCATAAGCACACAAAAGACGCTTATCATTATCAGTCAGCAGGAAACTGACTCAAACACACAATGAGATGCCACCTCACCCACAGTGATCACAAGAAACAAGAGAAGCAGGATGCTACTCAGGGGAAGGTGGGGACACTTAGCTGGTAGAAAGATAAACTGGTACAGCCACTCTGGAAAACAGCACAGAAGTTCCTCAGAGGTTACCACAGGACCCAGCAAGTCTGTGCTAGGTACACAGCTGAAGAACAGAGGTATACACAGGTGTTTTTAGCAGGATTCATAACAGCCAAAAAAGGAAAAAAACCCCCAAAATCTACCATCAAGCAGATAAACAAAACGCAGCACAGTTACACAAAGGAGCATGATCTGCCTGTAAAAATGAACGAAGCCCCTGCCATCTGCCATGCCACGGATCAGCCTTGGGCACAGCAGGCTGCGGGGAAGCAGCAGGCAGGAGGACCACAGGCCGCAGGGCTGCACTACAGTGGCTTCCTGGAAGAGAGAGGCCAGGCCACAGATGCGGCCAGTGGATGCTCAGCCCTGGGGTGAAGGGGGCTGGCTGGAAACAGGCCTTGGGTTTCTTTCTGGGTGACAACAGTCTAAATTTGATTGGTGGTAACTGTACCTCTCAGGTCATGGGTACATTTTAGATTGATGTTTTATGTAAGTAACACTGTAATATAAAAAAGAAATAAGGCATTTTAAGCACTCAAGATACTGCTAAAAACATATTGAAGTCTATTTTTGAAAGAAACATTTACTGTTTTCAGGGAAAAGGGCATTAGTTTAATTTAGTAGCTTTTATCATTATTTCCTGATTTCCCATGATAGATAAAGGGACACAGTGGAGAGATTTCCAAAACAAATGGCTAATTATGAAATTAAATGTCACATGGCCCTAGCATGGACACAGGACATATTCTATGAGTCCTATGCTGTGGAAAGGGATAATAAACAATAAATCAATCAAGAGAGTGCAGTAATTTTGGCCGCTTCCCTTCCTGCTCTCTGGCACTTCATTTCTGGGGGGAAGACAGACCCAGGCTGGGTACCAAGGCCGGCTCAGGCTCTTCCTCACAACTCTGCTCTTGGGTGGACAGCACAGCCAGTGACTCCAAGGCCTGAACAACTTCTTCAATCGCACTGGAAAGAGCAGCTCTTTCCTCTGTCTTTAATCAGACATTCTGCATAATAGTCCGATAGATAACTAAAAAGGGTTCATGTCTAAAAACTATGGCAGTCCAGAGACTAGACACACCTCGCAGCTAGCAGCACAATAGTACAGCCACAGCAAGGTCTTTGTTTGACACAGATCTACATAGTCTGGGCTGGCACTGAACCCACTATCTGGCCCAGGCTGCCCTCACATCCTCCTGCCCCAGCCTCTTCTCCCAAGGCATGCACCACCACACCTGGCTAGAGACCCTTTGTTTTTGTTTTTGGTCTTTTCGACGGGGTTTCATTATACGATTCAGGAGAGCCTTGAACTCACAGTGATCCTCCTGCCTCAGTCTCCTGAATGCTGGGATTATAAGTGTGTGCTACCATGCACAGCAAGGGAGGGTTTGTTTGTTTTTTTGAGGGATGTATTTTGAAGAGTACTCCGAATAACTGCAAATATGGTAAAACATTAAACAAATGATTTTTGAAACTAGCAGTGCTTTGATTTTGAAGGAACTAATAAATTTCATATTATACTAGTATCTTTAACATCATTTTAGCTTATAAAATAACATTAATTATAAACTCATTCTGCCTTTTATTTTTCTAGATATAACTGGAAATACTAGGAAAACTCAAATTCTGATACCTTTTAGAAAAATGCCAGGCCAGGGATTTAGCTCAGTGGCATAAGCACCTGCCCAACAAGCCTGAGTTTGAGCCCTAGTACCAAAAGGAAAAAAAAAAAGAAAGAAAGATGCTATAAAGTCTATGATAAATCCATAAAGTTCTATCCTCAAACTCACTTACCAATAGACAGGAAATCTGATTGATACTGACAAGTCATTCCAAAGCCAAAATCTCGCCAAAAACCAGAATCCTTTTTATGAACCTTAAAAAGAAAAGGAAAAAAAAAATCAATTTAATCTCTTAAGAATTAGAAGTTTCTTTTCTTTGTTATTTTTGGTGCTGGGGGTTAAACCCAGAATCTTTTCACCGAGCTATACCCCAACTGTTTTGTTTTTAAGACAGTGTCTTGCCCAAATGCACCTGAATTTGTGATCTCCTGCCTCAGCCTCCCAGAGTGCTAGTATTACAAATGTGCACCCCAGACCTGATTTAGAAAATTTAATACATAACAAAACAAATTATTTTCCAAAGGATACCTTTTTCCTGTCATGTGACTGATAAAAATTATTGTTGGCTGGGCATGGTGGTACATGCCTATAATTCCTATACTTTGGAGTCAGCAGGATCTAAATGTGAGCCCTACCTGGGCAATTTAGCAAGATTCTGTTTCAAAACAAAACAAAAGGCTGGGGATACAGTTCAGTGCACAGGGTCTAGGCTCAGTTCTTAGCACCACACACACAGACGTCCCCCCAACCAGAAAATCATGTATACTTAAATTATTAAATCCTGACAAAACCAACAAAAATACAGCAATCTGCATGAGCAAAAGATTTCCCAACAGCAAGTGAACTCAAGTCCTGAATGCCACGCATGCTGAGGTTACTCTTGGTCATGTAGTCCATGCTGATTGGCATGGGCAGTGGCTCTGGAGTCCAAGAGCCATCAACTCCACACAGACCTCCGACTGCCTGCTGTCCTGAGGAACAGCTGGAGTGTGGGGGTGCTCCTGTCGCCAGGGAGACCAGCTCCCCTGCCTACTTTCAGGGCCACGAACTGGCATGAGACAAACTCATGCTGGCAAGCTGTGTACATCGATAGCAATCTGCGTGACATTCACAACACAGTGAGCTGAGCAGTTACCACGGGGCTGTGTGGCCCAGAAGCCTGAAATTCTTCTGCTGGGCTCCTCCGGGTGTAGGACACAGACGGAAGGCTCAGAACTGCTGTGCTTTCCACCACAAAGGGAATGGCTTTGTGGTATCCCCGCTGTGCCCGTCACCCTGGGAGCCCCACAGCTGTTCTGCCTGGAGCATTTCCCCAGCTATCACTGGCTGGTCCCTTCCTGTCCCCAAATTCCTTCTCAGGGAAGCCTGAGCATGTGCCCGCACGCACGGACATGTCCTCTAACTGCTCTTTAGACTTGGCCTGCTTTACTGATCTGCATGCTACCTACCACCTCATCTGATTCTCTGCTTCTACCACAACAAAGACCCTGTGAGTCACTACCCACTGGGCGCTGGGTATGGGGCTCCACTCAACAGACCTGCCACCTGCACTGAACTCAGAGGCCAGAGCAGGCCCTGTGGCACGCTGCCCAGTGTATATGGACCCCCACGCAGGCCAGCTGTGCCACCATCTGTTAAGAGGACTCCATGAGTGGGCACACAAGCAGAGCAGGGAACACTAGCCACTGTTACCATGAACGCGTTGCCCAAAACACACACGCCATTTCCACCTCCCTCACATGCGGCGCTCTCGTCACGTCTCTGCTCCTTTCCTCTCGCTTCATGGTATTCGCTGCAGCACGGTAACTCAAGCTCATTTGCTGCCGCTGCTGTGCCTGCGCCTCATGCTGTCAGCATCTGTGCCTGGCTGCTCTGCTGCTCTGCAGCCTGGTGGGGGACCCCGGGCGTGGGGGTCACTGGGCCAGGGCATGAGCCCGACCCCCTACCAGCCTCACACGCATGGCTGGGAATTTTTAAATTTTTTTATGATGCCATGGTTAGAAAAGCTTGACTTTTAAAAGCAGCAATTTCACAGAAGAAAAAAATACTACACAGCTGCTCTGATTTATTCCTAGTAAGGCTATTTCAATGTTTAATGTGAATCACTTAAAAATATTATTATCATTATTTTTGGACTGGGGATTGAACTCATGACCTTGCGCTTGCCAGGGCAAGGGGGTTATGCCACTGAGCTAAATCCCCAGCCTATTTCTTATTTTTAAGAAAACCAAACCAAACAAAAAACAATAAAGCCAATCAAAACAGTGAAAGAGATACAGCACTTCAGAACAAGATAATAGGATATCAACAATGGCTGCTATAATGCCTCTTGTTAACTTCAAAATAACTGCCCATACCATCAGATGTAATAAATCAAACAAAATAGAACAGAATAGAACCAATCAAAACAAAACAATGAAAATGATACCGGACTTTGAAACAAAATAATACAGAACTGACCATGGCCATGGCTACCACCTTCCTTTTTTTTGATGCTGGGGATTGAACTCAGGACCTTGCATTTGCCAAGCAGGTACTTAGGCCGCTGAGCTAAACTCCTGGCGCCACTTTCCTTTTTTAGATGTTTCCTCCCCTTTGAGTTTCGTGGTATCTACTGTACCTTTTGGATTCCACTAACCTTTAGTTTATTATACTAGGGAGACAACCTATATAAGTCCGAACCATCTCACCCAAGAGTATGATAAGTTGCATCCACTTAGCTACTAGAGCTGCGCAATTCTCCTTATTTTTTATATTTTTGGTACTGGGGATTGAACTTATGATCTTGTGCTTTCCAAGCAGGTGCTTGTGCCGCTGAGCTCAATCCCTGGCCCAATTCTCCTTCTTCATAGCTGAGAAGCTTTCTACTGTCTAAAAATGCCGTTTCTTTTTTACCCATTCTGATGGTTGATGGGCAAGCTACCCTTGCTTTTTTTCTCGTTCCTTGTCACATGGAACAGTTTTCTCTCCTCTACTTTTCAGTCTGTGAATTTCCTTTTAAGTTAATGTGTTTCTTGTATACAGCATATTGATGGATCTTGTTCTTGTTCCACTCTGCCTGTTTCTTTTTATTGGTGAACTGGGGCCACCTACTTTAATAGTTACGGCCAACATGTACTGGTTTGTCTCTGCCATGCTTTTCTCCTGTCACTGGCTTCCTACTTTCCCCTCCATTCACCTGCCTGTCCTCTTGGTGATCCCACTCTGCTGCTGTTCCTGGGACCATGGCCATTTTTCTCTCTCTTGACTGACCTTCAGTTTTCTTTTTAGGGTTGGTTTGGTGGTCATGTACTCCTTCAGCTGTTTTCTGTCATGGAAGTATCTTATTTCTCCATTAATTCTAAAAGACAGTTTTGCAGGGTATATCAATCTGGGTTGGAAGTTGTTTTCTTTCAGGATTTGAAAAACTTACTCCAAGTTCTTGCTGAGTTGATGGTTTGTATTGAGAAGTCTGTCATGATTTTGATAGGTTTTCCTTTTTAAGTGATTTTTTTTTCTAACAGTTTTTAGTATCTGTTCTTGTGAATTTCTGAGATCTTTATTATTTGTCTGGGTGTAGATGTATTTTGGTTATGGCTGCTTGGAGTTCTGTATGTCTCACTTATCTGTCAGGCCTTTGCCCCACGCTGGGGAAGTTTTCTGCTATCACTTCTGTAAATAGTCCCTTTATATCATATGTGTTGATGCCTGCTTTTTCATTGATAACTATAACTCTTTTTTTTTTTTTTTTGCGTCACCTTGCAGCCCTTGAATGTTATTTCCTGGTTCCTTGTTATTTTTAAGAGAGCTTTCCTTTCGCAATCACTAACTGCAATCCTGTCTTCAAGGCATGAAAGTCTATCTTCAGGGGCTGGGGGTTTAGCTCAGCGGCATAAGCGCCTGCCTTGAAAGCAGGCAGTCGTGAGTTCGATCCCTGGTACCGGTAAAAAGGAAAAAGACCAAAAAAAAAAAGTCTATCTTCAGTTTCTTTCCAGTGGTTTTGCCAGCTTTCAATGGAGTGTTTAATTTCCTGTATATCTCTTTGAGTGCTTCATACATTCCATTTCTTTACTATATTATTCATTCAAGATTTCCTTCATCCTCCTATGCTTTTTTAAAGTCTACGTCTTTAGATACACTCAGCAACCTTTTTATTATGTTTGCCACTTCTTTCACCTGAGATATTACTTCTGATCTGATTTCTTTTACAGCCTCATGAAGTAGCTTCTTCAGTTTCCATCGTCCCAGAAATTTCAGGTGCGTGACTCAGTGTTCCTCCATGTCCATGTCTCCTAGACTTTTTCTGTTTGAGCTGGAGGCCAGAGATTGCCTTTGGCTCCTTTGTCTTGACATTTTCCTGGGTTCTTCTGGTTAAGCAGGTTGTGGGGTCGCAGGCACTTCCCACCCTGGCTGCCCATCCATAGTGTAGGAGATGGGTCAGGCATCTAGTTTCTCCTAAGCCAGGTTCCCCCGGAGGTGCTGGGGTGTGGGGTGGGCTTCTCCAAACACTCATGGCTTCTCCAAGGCATGGCTGGCTGGTTCTCTTGGCCCACATTGAGACCCAGGGGAGAGTCTCAATGGTGGCCAGCCAGTGCTTGGGGCTGGGCTGGCTGCTTCTTTCCACCTGTGCTGGCAGCCCCAGGAGTCTATTTTTACTTTTATTTTTTTAATCCATGTGCTTCGCATCCAAGTTTAAAAGGAAGTAGAGCACGTTTCTGTCTTCACTGAGGTGATGGAAGCTTAGCAGCATGCAAAGCCAAAAGCAGAGGGATGAGGCTTGGTGCCCGCCTCACTGAGTCGGCGCTCGCTTCCTCCCACATCTTGCTGAGTCAGATGGCAGCGCTAGCCCAAGTCCGCGTGCCTCTCACCCATTTGGCACTTGCTTTTGGTCTTTTGTTCGCTTCCCAATGAGGTTTGATGTATAAGCTTTCTATTTTATAATGACATTAGGTTTCCAGGAAAGTTACCACGGGCCTCACTCTGGAGTTTAGACTAGCTTTGCTACTGCACAGCCCAGGCTGGCTCGGATGTGGTCTTGCTGCCACCCTGCAGACTTCTCAGGCCTCCTGTCTGCTGCCAGCTCCTCTCACTTCCCAGTACTAATGCACCTAGTTTTTTTCCTTCTCTCCCTTTGTCTCTCCTGGTAATTCTGAGGGTTGAGGCCAGGCCTTCACACTAAACCAATCCCCAGCCTCTCTTGTTATTTTTTATTTTGAGACAGTCTTATTTGGTCACTAAGCTGCCAAGGCAAGGCTTGAACTTGTGATCTTCCTGCCTTAATTTTCAAGAGTGCTGAATTATAAGTGTGCTTCACTACGCTCAGCCCGTATTTTTCTGTAATAATTCATCTCTTTTTTTGGTATCAGGGATCAATCTCACTACCTGTGCTTGTGCCACTGAGCTAAATCCTCAGCCCTGTAGTAATTTATCTTTTACGGATTTGAGGTGTCAGAGTCGTTTGCCATTTTGATCCCACTTGTATCTCCATTCCTAAGTAACACCACCTACAGATGAGACAGAAGGATATGTGTGTGTCAGGAGAATGCCAACAGATGCTGGCATGTTAGTGGAGTTGTTTATTTTCAGTGCTGGGAATGAAGCCCAGGGTCTCACAGGCTAGGCAGTCATTCTACCCTAGCTCAGGGGTGGAGTTTTTAAAATTAAAACTTCAGTGTTACTAAAGCTACTAAAATTAAGTTGGCAGAGATGACTGCACAATTTCCACATTCTGGAACATGAGGTTTCCGTTGTGGCCTACACTGGTCTCCTCACCACTTAATTGTGAAAGCATTTTCCTGGGGGCGCAGAGGTGTGAAAGAGATGCAAACAATGTGCTTTGTAAGGGAAGCTTGTGTTTGCCCCTTGTACAACACACAGAAGGTCTCCAGAGCCATTCACGGCCAACACTGTCAAAGTCTCACCAGCTGCTGCTCCACGGGAGGGGGGGCATCCTGATTGGCATAGACGATGGCAGGGTTGTAAAGGCTGAACACCACAGGGTAAAACAGCTTTCTACCTGCAAGTTAAAGCATATTTTATATCACCCATGGAGGTATAAAACAAAGGACATCTTTACTACTAAACAGAGACTTCAATGAAATCTTTTAAAAATCACGTATTATCAATATTCAAGCTACAGAACAGCATGCTGACTGGATGAACATGAGGATGACCTTTTCATGAGGTCAGGCAATGAAAATGCAACTTGGCAAAAAACCAAAACCAGAAACACCGGACTAAAGGGAACTTCACGTGTTTATACCCTTGACTCCAGAGAGATCCACAAACGTAGTCTCTCAGCTACTCATTAGTTGAGCTTTTTATTACTCATTAGGTCATCTAGCCAGCAGTAAGAGACATGATTAACCTTTGACAATCATCAAGAAACGTACAAAAATCTGTTAAATCTAACCTTCCAAGGGAAGAGTTAAAAATAGCAAATATAAAAAATACTGTAGATATGTAGAAAATAATTAATACAGAAACACAGACAGACTTAAACCAAGGTCTGGGAAGACTGAAAAGATGGGGAACACACTGAGAGCCTGAAGAGCCTCCAGGTTAAGGGTACCTGGCCACTTGCCACAGGAGAGGTCGTTGGCAGGCCTGGCAGCTGGAAGTGCCAGCTGCTCAGGGCCTGAGTGTGACAGGCAGCCTTCTTACCACCAGAGCCCAGCTGATGCCAGGCCACTTTCTTCAAAGCCATTTAGGGCCAGGAAGACACAACTTCCCAGAGGCAAAGCTATTTCTGGATATAAAAATGCCTTTTACACTGGGCAAGTGTGCCTCCTTCAACCTCTGTATTCTGAATTTCATGCTGTCTGGAGTAACAAGAACAAACCAGACAAACACTTACTCATCAGGCTCTCAGAAAACTCTGGACAGCTCTCGCTAGCCAAGGTCATTAGGCTGTGTGTGAGATGATGAATTCTATGCAGAAAAATATGCCATGAATCCTTTCATTTAAAAAACCATTTTTATGGGGCTGGGGGTTTAGCTCAGCGGCATAAGTGCCTGCCTTGCAAGCAGGCAGTCGTGAGTTCGATCCCTGGTACTGATAAAAATGAAAAAGACAAAAAAAAAAAAAAACCTTTTTTTTTTTTTTTTTTTTGGTCTTTCTGAGACGGGGATTCACTATACAGTTCAGGCTGATCTTGAGCTCACTTTGTACCCTAGGTTGGTCTCAAATTTGGATTGCCTCAGCCCCTCAAGTGCTAGAATTACAGTGTGCACCACCATGGCAGGCCTAAAATTACTGTTTTCATAAAAATTGTATATATTTATACATCCAATGTTTTGATATATGCAAGCCTGTATGATGATTAAATCATGCAAATTAACATACCCCTCACCTCACAACTCACTTTTTTAGTGTTAAGGGTATTCAAATCTACTTCTCTTAGTCACTGTCAAGCACCTGGCACATTATTACTGTCTACAGTCAAGTTGTACAATGTGCCTGAGCTTATGTGTACTGAGACTTCTTAATACATAAAACTTTCAACATTTAAAATAAAAGTTGATTTATAAAACTGTTATTTGCTCATTAATTTTCAAAAAATACCTGCAGCATAAAGCACAGCACAACAACCCCGATAGGTACAGTCTGAAGACTACATAGAGTATACATAGGTGCGTATGCCCGTGTGGGTGTGAAAGCGCACGTGCACAGACTCCCTCCCCTCCCCAGACTCGCACCTCTCCACACCACCTGGGTGGCTCTTTTTCTGTCCCCCCAGTTGTTTCCTTCTCATCAGCTATTAGACTTCTGTTCTCTCACATTTGTTTACTTGGCTTCCAATGTAGGCACTGGAATTTGGCTCCATGAGAACAAAGGACATAAATCACAGAGGGGCAAATCTTCAACTTACTGAGTTTTCCAGTTAAATAATACTTAGTCCCACTTACAAAAAGCCATCCCAGGGCTTACTTCAACTCCCTTCCCCTCAGACTGACGTGATTCAAAACATGAGACATGCCAACACCATCCTCAGTCCACACTCCGCTCACCCGCTCACGGTGTACGCACCTGGCTCAGCATTTAACCGGCAGCTGTTAAGGAACTCGGCTGAGAAATATATATCAACATCACAGAAAAACATCAAGACCTCGCCCTTGTCCCAAGCTCGGGCACCCACATTTAGTCCTCGTCCACGATTAAATTCTTCGTTCAGTGACACCAAGGTGTAGTTGTGAAAGTTAGACTCACTATGAGGAAAGCACATACAACACATGATGAGTCCCAGTCACAACGCTCTCCTGTCCACAGAGCTCGAGCTTACGAACTTGGTTCATGCTACAGACTTTCCACGGTGCTGGTTCTCACTCTCTCAGGACAGGCCAAGCGCCGGCTTCCCTGATCCATGGCCGCCAGGGACTAAGGCTCACTCAGTGCCTGCAGGACAGGGGTCAGGCATTCTGGGGGTGTGAGGCTGAACAGGTGCTGCTAAGTGGCCGCTTCCCCCAAGCCCTAAAACACCTACTCAGGAGATGACCAACACCACGCATGGCGAAGCAAACCCGTGTCTGTGAACCCCTGCGTGTCACACACCAAGCACACACACACGCTCCCCTTGCACCCTGGCCTCTGCACATGCTCTGGCTGCACAGGCAGTGGCTGCCCTGGCTGATCTCCTCCGCATCCCAGACGTGTTGTGTACATGTCTCCCTCCACACAGCAGGCGTCTGTCTTGCCCACTACTATGCAAAGTGACCTTGCAGAGTTGGAGTTCAGTGCCTTTCTGCTGAATGAACGAGTGAGCAGCAGTTCTCGGGACAGATGGCTATGTCTAGAGCAGTCAGAGAAGACACCAGAAGTGGAATATGAGCCGTGCCTTGTGTCGAAACCCTTCTCAGTAATTACTCTTCAAAGCAGAGAAAGTAGAAAGCGTCTTAGAGGAAGCATTTAGGGATCAGACAAGTCAGGTGGTAACAGAGGACCCTTCAATGGAACAAAAGGACCCCAAGATGGGAATTCCAGGAGTCAGAGTGAGAAGTGCCTTCTTCAAGGCTGTGGAACATGGGTCCGAAGGGCTGGCGGGGTCTGCTGCTGGGAAAGTGGTCTCACAAGCAGGCTTCCACCTCAGAGTCAGCTCCCCCTGGCAACATGTTAGGAGCAGAGAGCAGTCTCCACCCCTGCTCCCCGACTGGGGCCGAGGGTGTGGGGCTGAGGGTAGACTGAGCCCTCCGTGCCCTCCCACTGAGCTGAACAGCCACTGTCCCAGGAGGCATCGAGACCCAGTGAGAACATGGGAACCACTGTTCTTTCCACAGTGCAGGGTGTGCTGGAGACGAAGGCACAATCAAGCTGCTCCAGGGGCCTGGGACTGCTCTCCTCACCTTCCGACTCAGAACCCTCTCCTTTCTTTGGGGGAAACTGCCCATCACTGTTCCACTGCGCAGCACTGCCTGGAAACCTGATTGCAGACCACCCACACTCCACCCACCCCTGGGAGTGGGGATCAGGCTCAAGTGAGGCCAGTCGCACCCCCACCCCACCTGGCCAGTGACTGGCTCAAGAGGGAAAATGTCCTTTCCTGGGAGCTTCTCAACTGGAGCTCAACTGGAGGGAGAAAGCGCTTTCCTCTGTGACGGCAAAGCTGAGAAGTGTGAGCCCAGAGCCGCCAACAGCCACATCCCTCAGCATGTGGAAGAAGCCAATCTGCAACAGGAGAAGGAAGTCAACATGCAGAGAACGGATGGTGTGAGAACTGTGACAGACAGCATCTGCCCCTCGGGTCCCAGCGCTGAGACACCAAGGCTGCCCTGATCTTCTCTGAGCTTGCCTGCAACTGTCCCTCCGTTCTGAGAGGCACCCCAGATGCTTCAGTCCTGCCCTTCCTCAAGCAGCTCAAAGTGAGAGTCCACCACCTGCTGCAGAGGCATCCTGAAGGCAGGGATGCCTGCGGAGTACCAGGGCAAGCACCCATACTTGGCAATAAGGAGGGAAGAGAGCAAGGGAAGAAATGTAGCGAGGGGGAGAAGGTTAGGGGAAGCGACAGATGCAAGTAGGAAGGAACGCTTCAGACGACACGTGAGGAGCACTCAGCTCTTGGGTGTCAGGCTGAGGTGCCCTGAGAACGGCCTGGCTGAGCTGGAAGGCGCCACCCAGGGCAGGGGGTGGGTGCGCTGTGCGCTTTGGTACTGAGAGGGTCCCAAGGCTCGCAGGTGCCCCTGTGGGGCCCTGGCCCCCTGCAAAGTGTACCTGGACAAAGAAGGTGGGCTTGGCGTGGCGGTGAGTGGTGGGGAGGAGAATGGCCTGGCTCTGAGCTGGAAGGGGCCACCGGGGGCAGCTGTGGAAGGGGAAGAGGGTAGGTGCGCTGTGTGCTTTGGTGCTGAGAGGATCCCAAAGGTTCACAGGTGCCCCAAAGGGGCTTGGCCCCCACAAAGTGTACCTGGGACACAGAAGGTGGGCTCGACATGTTAGTGAGTGGCGAGAGACAAGCAGTGGCCAGTCTGGCGCTCAGTGATGGCACCAGCAAGGGAAAGCAAAAGAGCGTGGGAAGGGCATAGCGCGGCAGCGCTGCTCTGGCTCGGGTGGACAAGCAGCCTGCACGCTGCTGTTGTTTCATGTTTGCGGGTTATTTGCATTTTTCAAGTGTAACAACATTTAAAAAGAAAGTGCTGGCTAGGGCATCCTGTCAAAAAGCAATCTAGGATAATAGAGAAAAGGGTAAATTTGCAAGTTGGGCTGTACCTTTGGGCCTTTAATTTAGAGAAAGCAGCTGAGAAGCTAAACAGAGAAAAATGACACACTGACCCCTTCAAACTCCGAGTACCTACTACCCATAGGTACCCAGCGGCTGCTTAGTGACCCAACCACCGCTCCGTGAGGGCCGACTGTGAGAGGACAGCACTGCGACGCCCCGCAGAATCAGAGGCTTAGACACTCGGTGAGCTGGACATCGTCCGTGGGGTGAGAAGAAACAGAGTGAGCAAAAGAGAAGAGAGGAGATGAGGACAGCAAAGCCCAGGCTTAGAGCTAGGAACAGGAGAGAAGCAAGTGCCCAGGAGGGGGTGGCCCTAGAGGACAACATCCCGACCAGGGCCAGGGCCCATCGGGCAGCTAGGGGAGGACAGCGCTGCTGTGCTGAGGGGCTCTGCACCACACCCCCATGCTCCGCAGCTAGCCAAAAGCACGAGCGCTTTACATGTGTGAAATGCTCACTCTTCCAAGCACACCTATCAAGAACTTCATTATGGACAGGACTCACCAACCTTGAGACAGATTCTAGGATAGATTTGACTTCAGACAGTCCTTCTTTACCAAAGTACACCACTGTGAGGTGAACCCTCTTGTCCTGATGAATGCAAACATCCCTAGTGGAAGTGAAAAACAGAGTTTAAGAAAACATGAGATACTACTTACTCTGCAAACACGTGACACTAACAAGAAAGTCAGTGAGGCGCTGCTGATGGAGCTGCTCAATCACAGTGGACCATGGGATCGACGCCGGGGCACCTCGGAAGGCTGCAACTGCAGCACGCTTTTGGAACTTCTGTTTTGGGACTGGTTTTAGAATCAGATTATAAAATATCCAAGGAAGTACATTCAATTAGTTGAAAACTAAATAAATATTCAAGTTCTGTATCAACAGTTATTTTGTCCTCAAATTGGCTAATTTCAAAAATTATATCATTATGATTAAGAATATCTACTGTAGGGGGAAGGCATTTAGCTCAGCAGTGTATGTGTCTGACTGGCAAGAGCAAGGTCAAGAGCAAGGTCCCTGGCACACACAAAAAAAGAGTATCTACTGTAAACCAGGTGTGGTGCACATCTGTAATCCCAGTGCTTGGGAGGCTGAGGTAGGAGGATCGCCACAACTTCAAGGCCACCCTGGGCTACACAGTGAGTCCAGTCCAGCCTGAACTACATAGTGAGACCTTGTCTCAAAAAAAAAAAAAAAGAAAAAGAAAAAGAATATTTGCCATAAAGAAAAACACAGCCTCTGAAGGCAATGCCAAGAAAAATGCCTTGGGGGAATCAGCTCTCAGGAGAGCTAGTTCTTTCTTTCTTTTTTTTTAGTACCGGGAATTGAATTCAGGACCTTGTGCTTGCCAGGAGGGCACTCAAGTCTCCTCGGCTCAGGAGAGCTATTTCATTCATAAGTCCATCATTCATAAGTACAACTCCTAGATATTTTGCTACAGTACATGGTTAAATATATTTTTAATGTAAGAATAAAGGTTAGGATTACAAAGCGCTAAAGTAGCATATTAAAGTTACTAAAGCATAGAAATGTTAACTTAAAAATAAGCAGTATTTTTTAAAATTGCTATTTCAATGTGTAGTTATTAACATTTCAGCATTCTAAAATGCCAAATTTAATGACCAAAGAAAAAGAATAGAAATACTCTACTTCATAAGGTGGAATAAACTCCCACTTGAGTTCAATATTTATATTTTTAAATTTATTTCAATCTTATTTTTAAGATTTTCATGGGAGATGACTTTGATTTGGATGTAGTTTACAAGCGTATGTATCTGTCAAAAGTCATGAAAATACTTACTATCCTTAAAACACCCTTAAAATATATGATTTTATTGAGTGCAGTTATGCATTAATAAAAGTAATTTTAAAAATTCCAACGGGACCTAACATGACTTCACACACAATTATAAAGGTCATTAAATTTAATTTCTAATACTTGCCACTTTTAATTTACAGTTCAAATTGTTAAGACACTATATGCTCCTTAAAGAAAAAAAGTTAAAAAAATAAAGCTACTTGAAAAAGCCCATAAGATTATTCCATAATCCTAAGTAATCATAGTTATTGAAGATAAGTCAGACAAAGCAGCATAAGACGTGCTTTTCCAGAAAAACTCAGCCAAGCCCTCAGCACCTGAGAGCTACCTGAAGTTCTGCATGAACTGCGTGAACGCTTCTGTTCTCTGCGCCAGGGGCACGATGATGTTGATGGTGGCCCTGCTGATGTCAACCGCTTCGCTCTTCACCTTCATGAGCGGCCCGAAAGGCCGGAAGAGTGTCACGTGCCTGTACTCCATCAGCTCTGCCTTCTTGAAAAAGAGCTCATACTGAGTGCCTTTATCTCTCTCGGTGCGATAGTAACCTAAAGTAAAGAGTTTGGAACGAAGATGTGTCCACGTTAGTGGAGTGTGAAGCCAAGCGCCAAGCCAAACTCAACAGGAACACAGGCTTTCCTTAAAGATTAAAGTCTGAAGCCAAACCTGCACAGTTTCTATTATGAAAATATTCCTGCAGTATAATCAGCACAACCATTCCTTTAAAAGTAGTGATAAAAACAGGTTTTCTGCTCTATTATTTATTATTCAACTCATAAAATATGCTCCAAAGGATACAGTGGTATCTCAGTTCACGATTGGGAAGAGATGGTCAAGCGGGAAAGACGGCTGTAGTCACCACACACAGTTTGCAAACAAAAACAAATTTTGCAAAAGACTTGTTTCCAAACCAGACTGTTCACAAACGAGTGTCTGTGAACACAGGGACCACTGCAATTATTCCTTTTCACATATGACTTTCATCATACCCAAGTCTACCAGCACAGTAACCATATGAAAAATAAACTGTTAGCAGTATTAAATTCTGAGTGCAAGAGTCTCGACTTGTATTGCTTGTTTTGGCTCACAGAAGTGAATCAGAGCCTTCACAGAGGTCACTGACAACCTCTAAGACCACAGGGTCAGCACTGATGAAAGAGTGGTGCGAGATAAGAAAGGGAAACAGTAAAAACTGTGTGGGGCACATGTTTGTGTGCATACACATTTTTTTCACTGAGCTAAGTCAAAGAAAGTTAGTACCAATTTTAACACAGTGAGTCCAGTTGCCTTTAGGAGAAAAGCATGCAGGGACACTGGGGAGTATTTTTTTTTTTTTCTTCTTTTTTTCCAGTACCGGGGATTGAATCCACGACCGCCTGCTTGCAGGGCAGGTGCTTATGCCACTGAGCTAAATCCCCAGCCCCTGGGGAGTCTGTTTTATGTTGCTCTTTTTCTTTCTTTCTTTCTTTTTTTTTTTTTTTTTTTTTTGTGAGTCCCATGGCATAGTTCAGGCTGGCCTCAAACTTGCAGAAATCCTCCTGCCTCAGTCTCCAAAGTGCTGGGATTATAGGTGAGTCCACCACACCCAACCTGGGCAGCCTGAGTTCCAAGTGTGATAGTCAGGAAACAGATTAGACTTACAGATGTATATGCCACTCAGTCACTATCTGGGAATAAATAAAGCAGCGGACAGACAGATTGCCCAAGCCTTGAGGCCTACAGTCCCGCAGAAGACAAAGCAGGAAGTGTGCAGACCACACACCTCCACCAGGATGGGAGGGTGTAGGGCAGCGTGACAAAGCAGAGGAAGCACTGCCATCTCAACCAGGGCTCGGCAGCTTCCTGAAGTGACATCTGTGCCACGGCCTAGCAGGGGCAGGCATTGCTCAGTGGCTGCCAGCAGTGACTCCAAGGAGTGACTCCAGAGAGAACCCTGAGAGTACGAAGCCAAGAGGAAGCTAAGCAGAAGCCGGAGAATGTGAAACAGGCTTCCTCCTCCCAAGCAGAGCTGTGAAGACATCGCACTGTTCCTAACTCACTTCCTCTGCAGCTTTCAATTCTGCCAGAAGCTAGGGAGTGAGAAGGCAACAGGCTGAGTCTGCAGACAGGTCATTAGAATAACCTATGACACATGGGAGGAAGTGACAGTAGAGGAGTCCACAGGGAGAAGACAGCTGGAAGGTCCCCACCCAGCAGGACGCCCTGCCTGCCAGCTTCAAAGGCCACAAGGGTCTATGTGATACAAGAATAGCCAGGATGACTTGGAGTGGAAAAGAAAGCAAAAACATAAGGAAAAGCTACATGTGCAGGCTGTTTATAGAATCAGAGGATTTTAAAGAAAGAATTTATATCCGAAATGGTTTTAAGCCTTTCATTAAAGGTCTAGCAGGAAGGGCCGGGGATACAGCTCAGTGGCACAGTGCCCGCCTGGCAAACGTGAGGTTCTCAGTTCATTTCCTGGTACCAAAAACAAAAACAGAAAACCAGACAGTAAAAGTCCAGCAGATACTACAATAGAGATGAGTAGGAATTTAGAATTATTTATTTACAACAATCAACAAATATCTTAAATTTATGGCAGCGCTCCTTGACCTCTGAATCAGGTCCTTTCTTACAGGTGCCATGCCCCTTCCACTATCTGTATAGGAAAATACGCCACTCCTTACCTTTCCAACCACCCCAACCCCAGAGCTGTGTGTGCCCCATTGATGTTCTGGCCCCTCCTTCTCTCCAGTCCAAAATGGAAAACAACCGCAAGTCTGCTAGTTAGCTTTTCTCTTTCCTTATCAAATAGTTCTCAAATTTTGAGCCTTAGTTCATACATTTTTAAGAACATGACAAGGAGCAAGGAGAAGCGATAAGACAGGAATGCAAATCCTACGCAAACACCTCCCAGCCCACAAGGGCCCTTCTACCTTGAAGGCTGGGGATTCTCAGAGGCATAGACTTCCTGGTCCTGGCTTCTATTTTTATTATGATTTCATTACAACCTTTTACAAAACTCTACTTAGAATTCTTCATGGAAAGGAAGAGGGTAAAACACTCTTTTAATACTTTGTTCATGACTGGCAGGTAAGCATAAATACCAGCATACTACCCTGCTACAGACCACTGACCAATACATTTTTCATATTACCTTCTACGAAGTCATTTTCATTAAATATCAGTTTCTCTCCAAGGGGACCCTCCTCATCTTCCTGCTCGTCCTCTTCATCAGGATTATTAAGGACTTCCAATCCAGCTTCAATAACTTCTACCAATTCGTCTCGCTTGTCTTTTCTAACCGGCTTTTCTTCGGGATGGCGGGTGAGTCCCATTTCCAGCTGAAAAACTTTCGTTAAGGTAAAGCTCTCGAAGGGGACCACTCCGTACTCACTGGGCAGTTTGGCTCCCTCGCTGACTTCGGCCTTGTCGATCTGGGAGTGGAGGAACTCCAGGAGGTCGCCAGGGGCCTGCTCGCCGTTGCTGTGGTAGCCTATGCTGTTTGCCCCTAGGTTCCTTCTCTCCTGCAGTGACCTCATCTTCTCACTCATTTCTTGCAATTCTTGCTTTAACTGGGCAATCTGGCGTTTCAGACTGGCTGCCCTGGTTTGATAATGTTCCTCCTGCTCCTGTAAGAGGGCTTGATAATACTCTTTACCGTAACTTTCCCCGACAACCCCGGGAAGAGATGCATTTCCGTCGGTCTGGGGGGCACATTCCAGAAGATACAGGAACAGCACCAGGCTGCAGAGCAGAGCCAGACCCAGCAGCAGCCAGTGGGCCCGGGCAGGAAGGGCGGAGCCTCTTCTAGACATCCTCAGCAAGGAGCGTTTGCCTAGCCTGATAAGCTCTTTGCTTGATCATACCTTAAGCAAAAAGCTATCAAGATTTTGAAACAAAGTCAGCATTTCCATAAAAGGGACCAAAATTAATTTTGCTATAGCTAAAAAAATTTCTTTGTTCCATAGTCATGACTACTTGCAGAAATAAGAAATTAAGCACACTTCCTTATTTGTTACCATGATCTCCAGGAACGCAGCAATCTGGTCTCTAAAATCCATGATGTGAATGGAGACTTTTCTGCAAGAAACAGATCAGAATCAATCAGAATTTTGTTTCCTGAAGTACACCAAACAGCTGGCAGCTTTAACAAATGTAGCTATGTGACTGCTCTACGGACAGTACCACAAGAAGTGCTGATATAATTGAGCAGTCAGTTGATAGCAGTATAAATCATCAATAAAAATTCTTTTCAAACTACTAAAGTGTTAGGTACAACAGTTTTAACCAATAGCATTTATACATACCCTAACCTCCTGCAAAGAGGAGAAAGAAATCAAAGAAATACTAAAACTATATTCAACAGTTTGTTATACAGATTCTAGTGTTTTTAAATTATTTTAATAGCTTGTAACTATTAACACAGTATTTCAATTAACATACCATGAGGAATTGAATTTTGACATATTGTTTCTATTATAGTGCTAAATAGCTTTTTTCATGATAGTTTCTTCTAATTTATTCAATTTAAATATACCACTCCAATAATTTCTATTGCTCAAGCAAGCACCTCCCCTCCCTGGTAAGCGGAGGCAGGGGGGCAGACTGCAGCCCTTCCAGGGGGAGAACTAGCAGTGTGTCCTGAGATGCATGCCATGTTGGAACTTAGGACTCTGGGAAGCCAAGCCAGCACCTCCTCTCCCTGGTAAGCGGAGGCAGTGTGGCAGACTGCAGCCCTTCCAGGGAGAGAACCAGCAGTGTCTCCTGAGATCCATGCCATGTTGGAACTGAGGACCAACAAATGACCATCCTGCCTCCCTCCTAAGCAATAGTGAACCTGCATGGCCTATAGTCAAATATCCCACTTCCCCTATCCTCCTTCTCCCTCCACCCCTGCCCATTAGCAAATGGGAACCAGAAATCTGAGCCTCTCTTGGGAGGCTGACCATAGCAAATAAGGGGGACTTCCTTCTACCATTTCTTTGAAGGCAAATATTTTTATTACTGTTTTGCTCTTTTCTGATTAATGGTACTGCTCTATTCAATATTCTGTTTTGATAAGTTCCATAGTGTTCTACCTTTCATCTCATTTAGATATACGTGATTGAAAGAACAACTATTATAAAGATAACAAAATATACTGTGATACCTATTACTGTTATCCTGGTAACCTGCTGTGAAGTTCTGTACCAATATCACTGTACGATCTTAGTTGGCTTTATTCTGACTTGTCCTGTTTTATACTTTCAAAATAAAATTAAAAAAAAAATAATTTCTATTGCTCAACTTCACCAATCTAGAAGCCTTAAATTAAGCATTGTGTGTGGGGGGGCCATTTAAAAAGGTCACAGACATCTGGAAAACACATTAAGAAAACATTTTTATATCCAAAGTCCTCTGGCAGATGATTTCAACATTAGATCACACAATTCTTTCCACTGTATTACACAGCAACAAATTTCCTATAAGTCTGGAAAGGTTTAGAGAATATAAAGAAGAAATACAAAATATTTTAATAATGTTTATCTGTTGAGAAAAAATTTAAAAATTATGAATTTATAGTACTTGAATATCATTACTGAGAAGATAATCTTAGAGGTAAATCTCTGGGAAATTTCTTATTTATTTATTTTTAAATAGGGTCTTGCTATGTAGTCTAGAGTGGCCCAAAATGCACTCTGTAGCCCACACTGGCTTTGAGCTCATGGTGATCTTCCTGTCTCAGCCTCCCAACTGCTGGGTTACAGGCTTGTGCAACCACACGTGGCTGTCTCTAAACAATTTTTACGTTTTTTAAATCAGTATATGTTCCCACACAATAATTACATTCATTTTGGAGAACTGATATGTACATATCACATGTTAAACCCTTTTACTTCCCTTTCACCTCTCCTTCTAAGTTATTACTGGCCTACTTGTTAGGAAAAGAAAATTCAGAACTAAACACATGGAGAAAAGCCTATATAAACTATTGATAAAGGCAGACCTTACTAACTCTATTACATACTCATCGTGGAAGCAAAGCTTGATAGCAGAACCAAGCATATAGTTTGAGCACCACCACCTCCTATTCATATCTCATCACGCAGGCAATGCATTTTACTACTGTGAGCCCTGACTCATGAATGGGTCACTACTAAAGATTTTTCAACAAAACGGAAAATACCAGCATGCATCGCATTTAATAGTAAGTTTTGTGTTGTGATTATGCACACGGTTGCATCAAACCTACACATAAAAACAACACTGGTGTAAAACACATTTTATGTATATTCTGAGTGACCCTGTTAGCTTAGTACTGATACTAGCTTTAGTCTACATAGGAAAAAGTTTGAGAAATGAAGATTTAAATAAGTTCATAAAACTACTAAGTAGGAGCATTAAAACTCAGCAGTCTTGCTCTTCCTTTAATTATAACACAGGTGTTAAGATGCCTTACATATTACTGAATAATGTAGTTGAGTATTTTCCACTGAAATGGAAAAAAGGCTGCTATAATTAGTTTAGAATGTAAATTTTAGTTGCATAGCTCTGTGGTGGTTGTTAAAAATAATATTTTAGCTAAAATTTTACTTGCCTAGTTTCTGAAGGGAACTCTTTAGCCACGTCCTGTGAGACTAGGTGACAACAGCTCTAAACCCAGTGGCACCTTGGTGCACCTCAGTCATTTCTGGGAACTGTGTCCAATGCCGAACTACGAGAACCAAACAAAGGGTTTGGGCCAGAAAGGACAGTGAGCGGCCATCAACGCCACACCAGCTGTGTGTGCACGCAGGGCCAAACGAACTGTGAGCAGTAGTTTGGCTATTTGGCTTTTCCACTGGCAGCCAGCAAAGGACAGGGCCATGGGGTGGAGTCAGCTCAGTCTGAGTGGAAAGGCAAACACAGGGAGGGGACCCTTGCAGCCGACACCCTTCTCCCTAATTACACAGCACTACTCCTGTCTGGCCGCAGAATGTGTGATTAGTGCCCGCCACTGAGTGTTTTGTTCCCCCACAGGTCGTCTGAGTGCAGGGACTTCCACACCCAAACTCAAGAGGATAAGCCACCCTCACCTTTTATGGCCAAGGACCCCGCCATCTCTTTGATGTAAGAGACCCTAAACTAAAAGCCCACTTGACAACTCTTTTTCTAGACCTTTCCCAACTATTGGGAGCTTTCTCTCTTCTATTTCCAATTAACACTACCCGTAACAGCCTCTTTGTCCATGATTTCATTCTTTGGCTTTGCGACACATCAGTCCAGTTTGGATGATAACAGAATGACACATCTTGGGACAAATTTTTTGTGTTCAAATGCATGGAGTACCAAATTCAAGGAATTTCAAAGCAGTCAAGTACTAAGGTGTGACTACGTTAAGAATACTGGAAAGGTTGGCCATGACACAGTTAGTAGAGTGCTTGTCTCACAAGTGCGAAGCCTTGGATTCAATCCCCTGTAACACACACACACACACACTATTAGAGAATGCACTCGCTTTTCTGCTGTTATACTTTGCTCATCATCATTCTGTGTAATGTGTTCACACTGTAAATAAGGTTCATGCACAGCCCCAGAATTAATCTGACCGGTCTTTCAAATAGACACAGATAGTGATGTGTTTTGAGGAAGAAAAATGTATATAGTGGAGTTGGAAAATGAGCTGGTAAAGGGTACATAATATAAAACTCAAAGATCTGAGGGTTGAAAGAAATCTCAGAAGCCACTGACTAACTGTAAGACAGACTAAAGAGAAGTCCTCTTACAGACCAGACAGAGCAACAGAGACATATTTACTCATGTTTGAAACCACAAAAAACTAAGACAATTGTAAACAAGTCCCTCCACCAAAAACAAAAACAAAAACTCCCCAGAATGTAAAAACAGTTTTGAAGCCATGGAACTTCTGGTAACAAAGGACAGCACTTGCTGGAGAAACAGGACACAGGGCTCATACAGGCACCACCTTAGCTCCAGGCCACCCCGTGGGAGAGGGAAACCCGGAGAGAGCCAGCAGACATCTGAGCTAATGGGTGCAGGTGATGGGATGAGGAAGTCCAGGCAGCCTGGGTTCCCGAACACAGTTCTGGAGAGGACAGGACAGAGGGGAAACTCTAGACCTCGCAAAAGACACCTCCAGTACCAACAGACCTCTCATCGGCGCAGGTAAGGAGGAACCTAAGGCCAAGAAAAAGACCACACATAACGTAAGAGGACACAGAACCCTGTATTCACGCAGGGCCAGAAACAGTGCATATTTCCACCAGCCAGACTAGGAAACTGCTTATTCAAAAACCAGTGGGAAATTAGCTCCAAATAGGTCTGGCTCTGCCAACAAACCCTAAAAACAAAACCTGAAAGGATTCATGCAACAGTGCAAGTTTCAGGAATATTTACAGGAATAACGTCTAGTAGACAACAAAATGAAATTCATAATCTCTGACATTTAAACAAAAATTCCCAGTCAAATGAAAAAATTCATGATTACAACTATGCAGAATTGATACAGAAGTGGAAATTCACAGAAAGAATATCAAAATATTTACCATATTTAAGCCAGGCATGGTGGTGCATGCCTGTAATCCCAGCACTCAGCAGGCTGAGGCAGGAGAATTGCCTGGAGTTGAAGGCAAGCCTGGGCTACATTGAGAGTTCAAGGTCTACCCAACAGACTCTTTCAAAACAAAACAACAGACAAAACACCCTATTGTATTTAAAGTATGTGCCTATTCAAAACACTAAGCAGCCTGGCCTGGCAGGCACAAGGTCCTGAGTTTGATTCCCAGTATGAAAGAGAAAACAAACTAAGCAGAAGCACGATGACATAAAAAAGATATAAATTAAACTTCAGGAAATTAAACCTTCAATGTCTAAAACAAAAACTACACTGAATGGGATTAACAGTAGTAGTTCAGATACTTTGGAAGAAAATGTTAATGACCCGGGAACACAGCAATTGAAACTATGCAAAATCCAGAAAGCAGAAGGAGGAAAATCAGAAGCACAGCATCAACAACCTGTGTGAGGACACTGGAGTCCCCCAAGAAGGGGGAAATTTCATAGAAGAGATATTTAAAGAAACAAGGCGGTACATTTGCAAA